GCACGGGGTGACCAACAAGGTCTGAATCGGTATGTAATATGGTAGGCACTGATAAGGGGTTGACAGGTAAGTGCAAGCCAGTGGTGGTTATTCTCAACCTTGTTTGGCTACTGCTGTTACCCCCCTTGTTGGATTTTGTTTCAACCGAGTAACCCCCCCCCCCCGCCTTGTCTGACCCCAACACGGTTCTCAGAAATAAATGTACGAATAATGAACCTCAATATGTTAACCAATTGTCCATCTTGTGAGGTATCCTAACTAGCGAGTAACTGCAAGTGAATTAAAAAAATTCAACAGACGCTCTGCATGGGTGACGTGATGTGTTCGCGCTCGCTGGTTACTCTCGTAAACCACATTGTTTACGATCGGTGAGTTTAGAAATACTTTTTATACCGTTCAAGGTTACCATATGGATTTACATTTTATGGTAGTTATTTTATGTCGGCAGATTCGTACAACATGATTATTCACCAATGACTCCCATGTATGATATATTTTCACGCATTTATAAATCACCTCACGTTAACCCCCTGGGACGATGCCACGTGTACCCCCGGTTGAGAACCCCTGCAATAGGCCACGCTTAAACATCAGCAGCAGCAAGTCATGGCTCAGATGGGCCCTGTTCACTGCTGGGCAGGCTGAGTGAAAGTGGTGGGGGGGTTCGAGCAGCCCGGTGTTCTGCGGGCCGATGCGGTGTGTCTTGGTCAGTTTTGCAGACAACGAATGCGACCCAGAGGAGCACTTTTTGAACTCAAAGTGTTTGCCGTCCCGTGGCCCACTCGTGCTCACACTCGGTGCAGGTGTCCGTCCGGTCGTCTCAGTCGGGCCGCGCGATACCGCGGGGGCGACGTGAACGCGGCACAAGGCAACGAACCAGCCGTCGTTGTGGGCTGCCCCGGTGCTCGCTGTGCACACGCGGGTGGCTCGTTCGCAAATAAATCGTGAAATTATTTAACTCGCAGCAGCGTCGCACACGCAGAGTAACACAAAAAAGCCACCCTTCTCTCGTCATATTTTTCTGGCGCAACAATAATTTTCTTGTTTTAATGTTTTTGTCGGGCATTGTTGCACACAATTTGTCTAATTGCGTGTAGGTTCAATAGTAGATAAGCAGAATGGGGAACAGTAGCATATTGGGTAGCGCGCTACGAACCCGGCGACCCGAGTTCGATTCCCGCTCACGGCCAATACCACTGAGGATTATTTGAACCGGTCATGGGCCTCCCCTAGTTCGACTCAGCCTCAAATGAGTACCTGGTACGGCGTGTAAACATCGCCACTCGGAGACAAAGGCTGTCGGGCGTGGTGCTGGCCACCCACCCCCTCGTGTGCCGTAACAGCCTTGAAGGTCCTCGCTAACAGCACTTGCTGCTACAGTCTAAGGCTATAGGGGGATCTTTGTCTTTGGATAAGCATAAATCAGCGCCACCAGTGACACCAATAGGTGCATGGGTGCACACCGGCCCAACAGGCGTAGAGGAAATGGTGTTGGCATGCCATGTCGACATCAAATAAGACGATGTAATGTCCCACGTGCAGGTGTTGTGAGCACTCTGACGCCCGGACAAAATCCAAAAGGATCACGTGAAGGTCAGGTTGGGAGTATGAGCTCAGCAATCTAATTAACTAGCTGGCACACCAAATTGGTCAATCGGTGAGCATACAGCTCCAGTTGAGTGGCAGAGCATTTGACATCAGCGTTCTGCGTGTCACTGGACATTCTGGGGACGACCAGTTATTGACTTTGAATTTATCCAGGTTGCAGTTGGTATTGCAAACCGATGCCAAGGAATCTTCATCTCGGGATGATGGGTCGGATAAGTACACAGTCCAGGAATTGGCAGGAAGTTGTGGAGACCTATCTTAAGAAGCATCAATACCCAGCGAATACATATTCGGAAGAGGCAATTTCCAGGTTGCTGGGTAAAACCTGGGATACGGTGAAAATTTAATTGCGTGGGAGTCTAACATTTTTCCAAAGAAAGCAACCCGAAAGCCTTTTCGACAATTTAAAACGGAATTTTAGCAAGCTGCCCTACTCTGCAATGGCCCTCGCAGACATTGTAACACATTCCCAATTCTAGAGGAGGGGGTAATGGATTTTTGGATGTGGCTGAACAAATCAATTGATGGAGCGACAGAGTGCCTGCAGAGGCGGAGTCACAGTGTTGAGGACTTGGGCCAAGAGGTGGCAGTGATGTCCACGAAGCACTGTCTGGATCCAGTGCTCGTTGGGATCTTCCAGTTTAAAGCCGCAGAAAAGTGGACTAACAGGGAAGTCCAAGGGCGGCTAGAGCAGCACTTGAGGAACGGTAGAACAACGTGCATCAAATGAACAAGAGAAACCGTCTGGAAGAAGCCATGCTGCTGCTAATGTTCAACAAAGCAAGCCAGTACCTCGGTGCCCAGAAGATTCTGGAGGAGACTCTCAACAGGACCAATGAACTCGGGAGACCCACAGGTCAGGAGACCGCCAACATGTTGCACATTAGGAGGCTGATCAGCAGACTTGAATAACTTTCTGACTCGCCCCCACTGGACATCTGTGAAATAGAGCTTCATAGCTCATCGGATTTCTCCAGGATAAATATCCTGATAAAGATTCTGAGCAGGCTGGATAGATTACTGGCATAGCAGGTGCAAGCAAGTGTCTGGAACAGCACAGCAAGTTGTGTGGCGTATGTGGAGAAGAAGGGAACACCACACTTATGCACTGCACAAGGACGAACCTATGTAATGTTGAACTTCCTTCGCACCGTACGTATAAAACCGTGCTAATCAGCCGCAGAAGCACATCCGAAAGCGCGCGATGCGGTGACCGTCTTTGTTCGATGGTTACCCAAAAGCCGCCGCTGCTGCTTGGAGGATGACTGGAGTTTTGCGTGACGGTTGACGTTTCTTGACGAGATCAGTGAGCTGCTTTGCAAGAAGTCACTGGAAGTGGGGTTGCCCCACGGGCAATGGGCGAGCCTCAGTTGGGCCACACAATTGGAGAGACCCTCGTGCCGCCGGCACTTACGCACACACAGAGAGGGGGGCCCGTGTGGGCGTTCATGACAATCCCCTTGAGCAGGAGGTCGAGCTACAACAACTGCATGTTGAGATCCAAGGGATATTCGCGGAGGGCCCCACACAACTCAAGTGATCCAGGAGTCTCAAGAGAGTTGACATTTTTCAGCGAGCTCTTTTTACACTGTGGTCAACGTTGGGGGCCCGGGTAGAGCTAAAGGGCGTTGCAAAGACTCGGAATCAATGGCACGCCTTATCGGTTAAAAATGCGGAGCGGACGGCTGGTATGGGCAGACCTAAACCTGGCGCAACGGTGAATCGAGTGGGCTTTGGTGGGTTGCGGGCGCGATGGAAGTGCATCCATGGCCCGGCGCTATGCCACCGATGCACTGGGATGCGATTGTACCGACTCGCATTGTCCTGGGCCAAATAAACGACATCACGGCGAAGTCAAATGCCATCAAGAAAATGCTAAAAGCATCTCAGAGGTGGGAGCAATGCTGCAATAAGATCTCCCGAGGGACATGTTCAATGACATCTCAAGGCAGAGCGCCAGGTGGACCCCCTGGGTAATCTGACCAGGTGGAGGGGGTGGCTTGGCTCAGGAGTGGGAATTTGGCGCAGGCTTCGATGCTTTTACAGAGGCGAGAAACATTCGGTCTGGGGAAGCCTTATGTGAAGTACACCCAATTCAGAAATAAACGCCGTGGTATTGTAGAGAGAATGATGGCGAGGTCCCTACCAAGGGTTATTACACCTCTGTGGGGCGACTGTTGGGTCCCCGTGATGGTGGTGAATCTCAAAAAGTAAGAATGCTTTAACGACGTAGTGAGCTGGCAGACGTGTGACAATCCCGAGCTGAGGAGGAATGAGACCTGTTTCAGGGCATCTAAGAAAAAAAAGTTTTGAACTCCATGGATCTGTACGGATGAGCCTAAGGCATAGGCTGGCCTCTCTTGGTCTATCAGGGATCGATATTTACAGATGTGAGGTAACCGGAAGGTCAAAGCACGAACTGTTAGATCTGCTGACAGAATATGAAGACACCTTCTGAAAGGATGTGATGGATTGCAGAGACCGTATCAGATGGTCGGACGATGATCTTTTCTGTCTTCCATAAAGAAGGGTGCCACCACCTGCTCATTACTCAGAGTTGAGGAACATTGTCTCTTGAGACGGAAGAGACGGGGATCATACGGAAATCATCGGGCGAGTTCGCTTCTCCTCTGGTGGTCTAGAAAAAATGTGGACTCTATCTGCACAGACTTCCACTGGGTGTTTAAGGCACAAGTGTGCATGTGACTGGGTGTGAGAGACGGTTGTGTGTGTGACTGGGTGTGACTGGGTGCGAGAGACACGAGTGAACGTGTTTACAGAGCTGTGTGAGACACAAGAGCGGTGCGTGTGCCTTGACAGCTCTGCAACACAAGACTATTCCCAAACGTGGATGCAAGAATTGCACCTTCAGGCAAATAGGGCCCAGTCATTCTCGATCTGCTTGAGTAATCTCGGTGATCTCTACAGTGACCATGAATTCCTTGGTCAATATGAATGGGCGCTGCGGTTGCGAGATGTTAACTACCTTGCCTGGTATACAGGGGGTCGTGGGTTCCATCCAGACTGACGAATACTGTATATTTGGATTGTGCGCATCGCTCTCCCTCCCCGTGGTCACGTGGATTTTCCTCCGGGTCTTCTGGTTTTTCCTTCCACATTTAGAATCAACATGCATTTAGAGTATTTGGCTGCTATACATTTCTACACGATAAGCCTCTTTGTTGGGCTATCATTGGTGGGCCTTACCTGTGAGAATTTTTTTTTTTTATAATTTAGTTTAGAATGCTCGTGTAAACATTGTTGAAGCGAAGATTAACGTCGGCAGTTCCCATGAAGATATCGGTCATTTGTGGTCTGACGGCAGGAAACGCCCCCGCGACAAGCCACGCCCATCGCCTCCCGTCCGGCGGACGCACGCAGGAACAAGGAGGTGAAACTTTTAAAAGTTGTTTTTATTGCTGTCCGATTGGTCGAGAAATAGGAACCTATCATCAGTGGGGGCATTAGAACTGGAGCTGTAAAGCGCAGCCCCGTTAAAGACAATGCGATGTGAGACGCGGGGGTGGGGGGGGGGGAGTAACGCGGAGCTGGGCCCAGAGGCTGCACGGTTTTGTAAACGTGGCACCTCACAGGTACGGCGAGTCACAGTAGATGCACGGGCTGTCCAGGTGCTGCTTCATCCACTCGGGATCTGTGACGCGGTGAACACAAGAGACGTGCGCTGAGAGTTAGACATGTACGTACACAGTGGCAGCAATCGTGTTGCATTGAGTTAATATATAGTATCTGATTATAAGCGCTTGAAAATGGGTTGTTTTTATCTTTATTATTGCACTTTTTCATCCTGGAAAGGCTCAAGACTTTTTCATCAGGGCCATGCCAAGTTTTCACAATAGGTAGCGATGTTGCTGCTGCTGTGTGTAATCCTAATGGAGTAATTTTCCAGCATTGGGATATTTAGCCAATACCGGTTACATTGTGTTTGTGTTTCTAGCTATGGGAGGCAACTGGAGAACCAGAGGAAACCCTTGCGGAACAGGGGGAGAGAACATACAAACTCCACACAGAAGGATGTCTAAGTCAGAAATTGAACCCAGGCCCCTCTCGCTGCGAGGCACGATGAGTGTTACCACTGCGCCACCGTGCCGCCCCAAGCTTCTTACTAACGACACTTGTCTGGCAGTGCGTGTGGCTGTAGCGTGGAATGGCTGCTACTCTGCGTCCGTGTTGTGCGAGTTACCCGTGGCCTTGGGGAAGGCCGCCACGCTGTCGTGGAGGATGCACCGCCGGTACCGCCACGTCTGGCAAGCTGCGAATGTCACCGCGCACCTAGGAAGAGCAGACACAACGCGGCGTTTTGCGCGCGGAGAGACGACATGGCCGTCGTGCTGAAACGGGGCATCTCGCACGCGACCGCCAGAAATCACTGGCGTGGGCATTCCAGCAAACTCAACCGCCATCCATAATAAATGTACTTTTTCTGTTGGGTTAGATTGCGTAGATATAAATGCGTCTCACTCTTCATCCGACTTAAGCCTCCCTTTTGTGGGTTGCGAGGGATTACAAAAAGGGATGGCTGAGAGAAAAACTCAAGGAACTCCTCGGCACATTAAACGGTCTCATCATCCCTCACACTGCACCGCTTTGGAATTCCCTCCAACCGTCTTCTTCTCTTTTACCAAACTCTTGTAATAACGTTGGCTCAATTCAACAAACGTGTTCCCCATTAACAACTTCGACAGTGCTCCATTGGAACCTCCTTTGCCAGTAGCAAAATATGATAATTGGTTTTGTACCCTTTTATCTGGCAACAAAACCGACACCTTTTTTACAAAGAGTCATGTTTGCATTGACCACAATACCTGCGGTCGGAATGCAAACAAAAATACAACTCTGATAATGTATGCACTGTCCTTGAAATTGATTGGTCCAAATCCGAGACAGCTTTCTTAGAGCCTCGTCTCACATGGTGTTGGACCAGATGACGCGTTTTGACCAGATGACACCTTTTGGCGTCTGGTCCAACACCATGTGAGACGAGGCTCTAAGAAAGCTGTCTCGGGTTTGGACCAATCAATTTCAAGGACAGTGCATACATTATCAGAGTTTTTTGTTTGCATTCCGACCGCAGGTATTGTGGTCAATGCAAACATGACTCCTTGTAAAAAAGGTGTCAGTTTTATTCGACAGTGCTGTTTTATTGCTGGCCGCTTGATGTCTTGGGACCCCATGCGCTCGCTCACCTGAGCCACTGGTGTCCATTGGCGCAGGTTGCTTGGACGTGCGACACGAAGGGGATGACTGCGGCACACAGCACGCACTTCTCCTGAATGTCCTGCTTGCCGATCTTCTTCAGGATGTTCGCAGCCAGCACCTGTGCATCCGGGAACGCCGCCGTCACCGTCACTCTCACAGGACGGCACAACCTCGTGCGCCCAGGCTCCCGCAGAGCAACAACAAGCAACAAGCCTCGCGACGTCATGGTGGCTATAAAATGTGAACTACCTTGCCCGGTATATAGGAGGCCATGGGTTCAATCCCGACCCTGATGTCTGCTGTATATTTGGAGTTTGCGTCTCTCTCTCTCTCCGTGGTCACGTGGATTTTTCTCCGGGTCCTCAGGTTTTTTCCTCCACATTAAGAATCAACGTGGGTTTAGAGTATTTGGCTGCTATAAAGTTACACATGTGTAATAAAGGACTCTTGCACTGGGTCTGTCTCCGTTGTCCTTTATTGTGGTTCTTACAACTTTGCCCGCACGGCGTCTCGCTCAGAGTCTCCTCCGTCTCCCGCTCGGCAGCCCCACTGCTGCCGTCGCTCCCGCAGACTTGCTGCTGGCTCACAATGCAGCCCCGCTGCTGGCTTTTCACTCAGCCTCTCTGCCTCCGACCTGCAGCCCCACGGCTGCTCTCTATGCAGCCCCGCTGCTGCTCTCCGCTCTCCTCCGTGCCCGGACACCACTGACCAACGGTGCCGAGTCCCGACCTGTGGCGATCACGCCACTTTCCACCTCCTGCCCTGCGTGGCCTCCTCCTGTCTTTATTCCCACACTCTCCTCCAGCCCTTCCGGTTCCTGCCCTTAAAAGCACTCCCTCTCCCCACGTGACCCAACTCCTCCCACCTGTTACGTCATATCCGCGAGGCCGTTTACGCTCGCATTACACCACCCTCCCCCGTAGAGAAAATTCCAGCCGTCCTCGGCTGAAACAAACAAGCAATGCGAGCGACCCCCAACCACCAGCCGTGAACGGACAACGGAGAATACAACGAATATAACAATAACAACAAGAACGAGAACAACAATAAACGAAAAGAAAGGGACTTCGAACGCGTGCGGGTCGCCGGCCCGTCCCGGACGAGTGGCGGCCCCCCTGCAGACCGAGAACGCGACGGGGTTTTAGGAGTGACAGGATCAAAACCGCCTGTCGCTATTGGAGGCCCGCCAATGCCAAGGTCCCGTTCCCCCGAAGGACCAGAGTCCGGGGTGTCCCGCAATCGTGTCTGTGGTGGGGTTGGAAGGGCGGCGGGGCCAGGTGTCCCCGCAGCCGTAGTAGGCCCACCCCGAGCAGAGTCCGCTGCCTCCTGCAGTGTCACGGCCGGTTTGTCTGTAGAAGGCACGACAGGCGCTCTTGCAGGGTCAACAGGCACAGGCAAGGGTGCGTCGGCAGCAACAGACACCGGCAAGGCAACATCAGGAGATGACGCATCCGTTCGAGGGGCCACGTATAGTTTCAAGCGAGACGTATGGACGTACCAGCGCCGAGCTCTGAACCGAACGCGCACGGTCTGCGGGTTAGGAACCTCAATGAGCCTAACAGGCCCCTGCCATGGTTTATGCAGTTTAGGGGAGGTTCCTGCTCGCACCTGCGGGCAATGCAGCCAAGCCATATCCCCCACCTTCCAGGGGCACTTCCCCTTCGAGCGTCGAGCGCAACGTTAGTTTCGAGCCTGGGTTTTGGCAGTAGCCACTCGGGCCCCCTCCCGCGCCTCAGCGACGCGGCGAACGGCGTCCTGAATGTAGTCAGGGAGAGGCTTAGTAGGTCCTCTCACTCCCGTTCCCAACTGCACATCCATTGGCGGCACGTTTTCGCGACCGTACATGAGAAAAAACGGAGAATATCCTGTGGACGCGTGAGGCGTCATCCGGTATGCCGAGAGTACCCCAGGGATGTGCAAATCCCAGTCAGCTTGCTTCTCATTAACCGTGTGACACAGCATGGCTGACAGCGTCCGATTGAGTCTTTTCACCATGCCATCCGTCTGCGGGTGGTAGGGGGATGTCCGGATCTTTTTGGTCCCCAGAGCAGCGCACACCTCCCCCAACAACTTAGAAGAAAAATTCTGGCCCTGATCAGTGAGCAGCCTCTCCGGCGCCCCTTTGTCCTTGACATATCCAAATAGAAAGGTGTCCGTAATTGACGCCGCCGACTGGTCGGGCAAGGGCCAGGCCATCGGCCAGCGGGAGAGATACTCCACCCCAACTAGCAAGTATTTATTACCCCTAGCGGATGGCGGGAAGGGTCCCAAAATATCCAACGCCACCAACTCGTTAACTCGAGACACTTGAATAGACTGTATCGGTGGCACATATGGGTGTTTGGGTGGCTTCCGCCGGGCACACTCGGGACACGCACGAACGTGCCCGACGACATCCGTCGTCATGCCGTGCCAGAAGTAGTCTCGCTGCAACGTCAACAAGGTTTTCTGCACCCCCAGGTGTAATAGCGTGTCGCAATGCAAAGTCCTAATCAATTCGTACCGTAACGACGACGGTACAACCAGACGCCAGCGATCATGTAACCCCTCCCTCCACATCAGCAGTCCGTCGCGGAGAGCGGCCCACGGCATCCCCCCGGAAAGCAGTCCCCCCCCTCCCTTTGCAGCCCGACTCCGCAGGGTCCCCAACGAGTCGTCCAGCATTTGTTCACGGATCCACACCGCTCGTGGAAGGTTTAGAACCCCATCGGCCAGTCCCGGGCACACTGGAGTCTCAGGCACCTCGACCGCTAACGCCATAGGCCGAGGGGGCTGCTGAGTCGGCGTACACCTATGCGTCCCTGACGCGCAAGCGCAAGGGGATCCCTGCAGTAACCTGGAGAGCGCGTCACGCGAATGCGGACGCCCCTTCCGATGTTGAATTTGGAAGGAAAACTCCTGCAGAGTGTCCAACCATCGTGCCAGCTGGCCAGACGGTTGATCTACCCTCAGAGCATATTGTAAAGCCGCATGATCCGTGCGCACAATGAACGAACGGCCGTAGAGATACGGCCGAAATTGGCGGAGAAAATAGACAATGGCCAAAAGTTCACGGCGAGTGACGCAGTAGCGGGTTTCCGCGGGGGACAAGACGCGGCTACCGTACGCCACCACGCGTTCCACACCGCCTTTGGACTGTGACAGCATGGCCCCAATGCCCGTGTCACTCGCGTCCGTGTCCAGAATGAAAGGGTGATCAAAATCGGGATAGTCCAATGTCGGCGCCGTTGCCAAACGATCGCGCAGGCCCTCAAACGCCGCCTCCTCTGGCGGTCCCCAACTGAATTTCCGTCCTTTACCCGTAAGGAGGTGCAGAGGCCTCGCGATCGTTGCAAAATTGGGAACGAACCTACGGTAATATGAGGCAAACCCCAAAAAGCGACGCACATCCCCCACCGTGGCCGGGGTTGGCCAGTTGCGGACGCACGCCGTCTTCTCCGGATCCGTGGCAACCCCGTCAGCACTGACTATATGTCCCAAATAGCGCACGGACCGTTGCAGTAGGTGACATTTCTTAGGTTTAAATTTCAGATTGGCGGAGCGCATTCTGGCAAACACCGCCTCCAGTCTCTGTAGATGTTCATCAAATGTGCGGCTAAAGATGACGATATCGTCTAAATATATCAGACATGTCTCCCACTGCAACCCCGTTAATACCAACTCCATCAACCTCTGAAATGTGGCGGGGGCAGCATTCAACCCCATTGGAAGACAATTAAATTGAAATAGACCCTGCGGCGTACGGAAAGCGGTCTTTTCCCGCTGAGGACTCATCGAGGGGAAGCTGCCAGAATCCCGAAGAGAGATCCAGCGTCGAAAAGATCTTCGCCCCCGACAAGACATCGAGGGAATCATCCATACGCGGCAGGGGGTACGCTTCCGCCACTGACACTTTGTTTAATTTACGGAAATCGACGCAAAATCGCAATCTGCCGTCTTTCTTTTTGATCAAGACTACTGGCGCGCCCCATGGGCTGTTAGACGGAGATATTATGTCCGCAGCCAGCATGTCATCCACTGCTCCACGAACATGGTCTCGCTCCGCCGGACTCATCCGATGCGAGTTCAGCCGAATCGGAGCAGCGTCCCCCGTGTCAATATGATGGGAAAGCAGGGAGGTGCGTCCCAAGTCCAAATCGTCGGAGCTAAACACATCGGAATAACTCAATAATAGCGCGCGAAGCGTGGATCGCTGTTCCCCAGTCAGGGATGAATTTTCGCCGCACAATTCGGCGATCCAGCGATCATCTTGACCCGCAGGGCCCGAAACTCCGGCAACCACATCCCGGCGGCCCAGATGGTCCTGGGCCGTAAACGCCGTTATGGCATGCGCCACGACCGTTCCGGCCGGCACGCACAAATTCTCCAAACTCCCATTAAGCACCTGCAAAAATGGCTGCTGGTCCGGCCGAATAATAGTTTGCGCCTCGACCAGCGCCGATCCGCCCGTAATGGTCGCGGACGGCGATAACAAAACCCCAGGCGCTCCTTCCTGACCAGGCACCGGTTTCCGATATCGCAAGGGGATAAACATCTGTGAACCAGGTGGAATGTCAACAGATACTTCGGACAGCACCTGGCAGACCGGAGCGGGTCGCCCCCAGGGCGACGGCAAAAACGTAATTTTTCGACCCCCCGGTAATTCAATGCAATTTTGATTAACTCTTATTAGAATGGGCATTTTGGCCAGAAAATCAGTTCCCAACAAACACGGAACCGCAAGGGACCTCGAAATCAACACAGTTCCCGAGGCCGACACCCCCCCGATGGATATATTGGCGTCCACCTGGCCCACAATGCCCATACTTCCCCCGTTCGCTGCTACACAGGAATCGTAAACCGGGCGCACTGCGTCCGGCGGGATGCCCAACAGATGGAAAATGACATCCGATATAATCGTCGCGGACGCACCGGAGTCCACTAAAATGCGCACGTCGACCCCTTGTATAGAACCCGGCACAGTGGACGAACCAGTAGCGGCCGCAACAACCCGCCGCGCCAATTTACGCCACTGCGTTACCGAGCGACATAGGCCAGTCGGCGGCCTCCCGTTGTTAACGACACCCGGATCGCGCGGCAACGGTGATGAATGAGGTGCCAAGCCTTGCCGGGTGTCTAGTGCGCACCGACTTGCCTGTCCAGGAGGGTCCTTCCGCGGCACGTCCGTGGTCGAGGCCTCCTGCTGGGGCGGCCCCGGTATACGGGCCCAGCAATCCCTGGCGTAGTGGCCTTTGCGACCGCAGCGGAAACACTCGACGTCATTGCGACGCACAGCACTCCCCCCATCTCGACGCTCCCGCGTCGGCGGCGCAGATCGCGGCCCCGGCCCTCCGCGGGCAGGCCACCATGCAGAGGCGGCCGTCAATTCCTGCGGGCCCCCCCCCCGTCAGGAACGTACACCGCCTTCTTGGGATCCCAACCCACGGCACCCCCTTCCACGATGGGCACCCCCGTCCACGCTGTCACCTGCTTCCAATGGCGCAGATTAAACTGGGCATCCAAACACTTCGCAGCTGCCCGAGACGTCAACTTCTCATGGCCGCACACCGGCATAGGGATCCCCAAATCTCTCGACAGCTCAAGCATTTTGCCCAAAATAAGGGGTTCCAGTAGGTCAGGCTCCGTCTCAGGGTATGCGGCCATGGCCAATTCCAGGACAGCACCCCTGTATGCCACCGGCGACTCTTCGGGCGCCCGCTGGCGCTGAACGAATCGTCGGTGAGCGTCATCCGGTAGCTCGTATGCATCCGCCATTTCGTCAAAAACCCCTCTCAGTGTCTTCTTTTTCTCGGCCTTGATGGAACGGAAAAATCTGAGCGACTCATCGTCGAGAAGAGTTGGCAGAACTTCCAGGGCCTCTGCGTCAGTCCATCTGGTGGAGCGCACCGCCGCCAAAAATCGGCAGGCGAATGCACTCCAGTCGCCTCCGATTGAAAATTCTTTAACTGTTGTCAAGTGACGGCTGCGGGTCCTCGCTCTGCTGTCCTCCGCAGACGGCGCATCGCGTGGCATGTTCAAGATGGCGTCGCACCGCAACGTGTCAAAGATGGCGGCTTCCCGCCGCGGAGGGCGCAAGATGGCGACTTTCCGCGGTTCTTCTCCCGCCACCCCCAAGATGGCGTCCTCGTGGCGTGTGGCGGAGGGCGCTGGCGGCGCAGGCAAGGCCCTGGTCTGTTAGTCACCCCCGGGCCTCCCCGAACCCGTCACCGGCGTGAGGAGGTCGCACAGTTGCGCCAAGACGATCTTCAAAGTCTCCAGCTGGGCCGCCATCTGTCTCCATCGCTGGTCAGCGTCCACCGAGGCGGCGACCTCTTGCACCCCCGGGCCGTCACTCGTTCCTGCGTCGATTTCTCCCTCCATCGTTGGCAGCGCTACTGCCTGAGGAAGGTCGTCGTCGTCGGAAGATGTAGCAGACGATGGTGCGGGGATATTCTTTCTTCTGAGCTGTTTTGACATGCCGTTTCACTTCTGACACCAGTGTAATAAAGGACTCTTGCACTGGGTCTGTCTCCGTTGTCCTTTATTGTGGTTCTTACAACTTTGCCCGCACGGCGTCTCGCTCAGAGTCTCCTCCGTCTCCCGCTCGGCAGCCCCACTGCTGCCGTCGCTCCCGCAGACTTGCTGCTGGCTCACAATGCAGCCCCGCTGCTGGCTTTTCACTCAGCCTCTCTGCCTCCGACCTGCAGCCCCACGGCTGCTCTCTATGCAGCCCCGCTGCTGCTCTCCGCTCTCCTCCGTGCCCGGACACCGCTGGCCAACGGTGCCGAGTCCCGACCTGTGGCGATCACGCCACTTTCCACCTCCTGCCCTGCGTGGCCTCCTCCTGTCTTTATTCCCACACTCTCCTCCAGCCCTTCCGGTTCCTGCCCTTAAAAGCACTCCCTCTCCCCACATGACCCAACTCCTCCCACCTGTGACGTCATATCCGCGAGGCCGTTTACGCTCGCATTACACATGATAAGCCACTTCGTCGAGCTATCATTTGTGCCCAGGTTGATTTTGAAAAAGAGCTACGTAGCTCAGTGACCCTTAGGATAAAACACACATTCTTTTTTAGTCCAGCTCTACAGAAGTGCTTCCCTACCTTTAATCTCGTGAGTGTCTACCCAGAAGAGCATCACTGAGTCTCAAGACTCCATTTCAGGAGGGTCCTGCGAAATCTCGCAGTAAGAGGGGGCAATGTTGCTGTGTGTAATACTAATTGAGTATTATTTCAACACTGAGTTGTTTTTCCAATACCAATTACACTATACGGATGTGGTACGAGTAAATGTTTTGAGGGTTTGACAGTGGGCCGCAGTACCCATAAAGGGTTGGAACCACCAATCAACATGATTAAATCGACGTGATTAAAACAAAATTTAAGTATTTAGGCCACCGACTCAAATCGAGAAAGGTGATTGAACCTGTTAGAAGAACGGACAGAAAATTTACTTTCAGAATTATTTCGAGGCTTGGCATCACCTGCGAGAGAGAAAGCATGCAAGCCGCACTAATCGTCAAGTATTTACTGCGTGTGTGTGTACGTTCACACTCAGACAGCGTTGTCTTTGTTACTGTTAGTTTGGTGTCATCACTGTGCTTATTGGTAAAGGTGATTTGGTTGGAGGGGGTTACCAGCCTTCGACACTTCACGTCGTCTCCAGGTGCACCTAGCTCGGCACAAGCGCCGGTGGTGACATCACCGCTACTCAGCGGCGAACAGCGTTTGCTGCTGCTGTTGATGTCGCTGCCACGACCGCTCTTTGACTCGACTTGACCAACAGGCACGACATGGAACACGAGAACCCCATGCACGGCCCATCACGACAGACGGCTGCAGGAACGTGCCTGTGCGTCGGTGGCGTGCGCGCTCGTGTCCCCGCTGGTGATGAAGCCGAGCAAGCCGCGCGCTGGCAGGTGCAAGTGCAGGTCGAAGCGCGTGCACAGGAACGCCCTCTCCAGGACACGGCACGCCGCTCCCCGGGCCAGCACCCTCTCCCTGCGCCGGATCTCGGCCAGAAGCCAGTCGGATTCCGTCTCGCGCTCAGCACCTGCGAATAGACAAATACACATGGAATAGTAACACGTAGGCTTTCGCCAGCGATTTGATTCCTGCCGAAATGTCGTACTCAGATTGTAAATGTTGCGGCTTTGCTCTCCAACACACCGGTGTGCTGTACTAGTGTAGTGTGTTCAAAAATTATTCGCACCGACACGTTGTAACAAGTCACCTGCTTACACTTTATTCGCCTATTCTTGCACCAGTTGTAGGCACTCCTATAACTATCTGTACGGTCACTTAGATCTAACTTCTTCCTACTCGCCTCCTTCCCACGTTTGTCTCTCCACATTTAGATAATTTTGCTGCTATAAATTTCCGCATGATAAGCCACAATGTTGAGCTTAGGCAAAATAATCTAATACCTCAGTGGACTTTGCCTGGTGGGATGGGGATGGATTAGTTGTGTCTGTATGCGTTTGGGTGATTTGTTTCCCTCTATTGTACTTTCACTATCGTGTGTATTTTTTGTTGTTGTAATGTTCTTACCCTGTGCCCCTAACTGGACATTGTGAAAAAGAGCTTTATAGCTCATCGGATTCCTCCAGCATAAATACATATTCAGATTCTGACATCGGCCGCAGCCCGTTCCCAAACATCAGATGCACCCCCGATGGGTTGTGTAATAAAATATGTCTTTTTTTATGTGTAGAGACAGATATGGGTTCGTTTTAAAAAGGGAAGATTGTTGTGAGACTTTATTTAATCACAACATGACACCTGACACTCGCTCCACGTGACCAAGCGTTTTACCCTCGCTCTGAAGGAGCCATTTTTGCCTTACACACCACTGAGTTATTCTTTCGAGTCTCAATCATGGAATGTTTGAGGCCGTTCATCCTCTCAGAAATGTAGGGCCCAGTGCAAATATTGTGTAGATTCACAAAACTTAAAATATTTACGTAATTTACACAATAAGACAAAGATCCATGTAGCCTTAACAGACTGTTGGGGCAAGTGCTGCTAGCGAGCAACTCTGAAGGCCGGCACGGCGCATGAGGGGGTGGGTGGCCAGCACCACGCCCGACCGCCTTTGTCTCCACCAGTGACGATGTTTACACACCACACCAGGTACTCATTTGAGGCCGAGTCGACCTAGGGGTGGCCCAGAACTGGCTCGTGAGCGAGAATCGAACTTGTGTTTCCGGGTTCGTAGCGCATCGCGCTAACAGCTACCCAATGTGCACAATTGGCAATGTATGCGAAGCATTGCTCTCCCGTGGTGTATATAGAATACACAGAGGCGTTGTTGACAGAGGTTTTAGTTTGAAAAGCACAGTTTGAAAAATATGACGATACTAACAGTGCTTTTGTTGACTTTCCAGGGATCAAGCAACCCGAGCCTCTGCCATCAAACTCCAGTGAACGAGACGGCTGCTGCTATTGTATGTTTTGCTGATACATGCAACACCACGTGTGTGGTGTAGCTCAAAACGTTACCAAGCCATCATCGGCGTTGCAATATCCAAGTCTCTGGCACAAGTCGCTGACACCCACCTTCACCGACAGCCTCCGTGCTCTTCATTCTTGTGGCGTCTGCAGTGTTAAATTCCCCACCTGCGTTACTACCGCCGTCGTCATCGTCGTCATCGTCCTCCTCGTCTTTGATTCCGTCCACGCTCTCGTCTTTGACGCCGGACGGGACGCCGTCGCCGGCCCCATCTGGACTGGTTCCCGTGGCTGGACGAGGCCGAGCGAAGGCCTCCGCCCCCACCGGCGGCCAGCGTGGCCGCGGCCTCCCCCGGGCGTGGATGGCGAAGCGCAGCAGATAAAGCCTGACGCGCGTGAGGTAGGCGGCCCAGCGGCCCCGGTCCCGCGAGCGCACGCCACCCTCCTTCGCCTCCGTCAGGCGGTCCAACTCGGCCAGCATGGTGGCGGGCACCCGGCCTCCGACATCGAGCGAGTGCGAGCGCAGCACCTCCAGCAGGTCGGCCCGCAAAAACGCCAGGCCGCAAGGCGGACAAAGAGGGCGAGTCGGGCGGCGGGACGGAGACCAAGCGCCTGAAGGCCTCGTCTGGGTTGACGAGCGAGACGAACGCGAGCGAGTACGTCCTTTGCGGAGGGTGGAGGCCGAGAGTGACGGGGAAGTCGCCGTCCGCGTGGCCGCCGTCTGGGTTCGGTGTTTTGTGGTGGCGCGCTGCCTCCGCGGCCGGGTCTCGCTCGCCGGCGTCTCCGAAGCCCAGATCTTCGCCATCTCCCCGAGTCCGTTGTTTCTCGGCAGATTCATCTCGCCCCGGTTTGCCCTCCTGGCCCGGCGCTGCCTCCTCCTCCTCCTCGCTGTCCCCGCCGGACAGCCCCTCCGTGGTTAGCAGGGCGAGGAAGGCTCCGTTGGGTGACGCCGCGAGGCCGCGGACGCGCTGCGTGGCCGAGGGGGCCCGGAAGCCTCATGACGCGCTTCTCGAAGCGCACCCATCGTCTCTGTCCCGCGGCGGCGGGGATGCTGACGCTGACGTCGCCCTCGCCGCCGCTGTGGCACAGCACGGGCCACACGCAGCACAGGGAGCCGTCGGCGGAGGCGGTGTAAACCACCCCCCCGCCGCCGCCTCCGCCGTCCCCGTCGCCCCAACGGTTCGAGCAGACAGCGGCCATGCCGCAGATTGGCTGCGGGTGCAGGCCCGTGACGTGCGCCGTCTGCACGCTCATTCCTCCCCCGCTCACGCACACCACGCATGCCAGCAGGTGAGGCCCGCGGGCGGCGAGCACCACGCTCGTGCGGCCGCACTGAGACGTCGACGAGGGCAGCGCGCCCGCGTGGGGGCTCGCCCGGGCGTGGGAGACGGCCTTGGGGGCGGCCTTGGGGGCGGTCGCTTGTTCAGTGACGCCGGTGCCCCCAGCGTGCCGAGCGGCCGGCGCGCCCGAGCCCTGCGAGGAGGGGAGCTTCGCTCCGTGCACGCTCGTGTCGCCCGAGGGCACCATGTCAAGCGTGCGGATGAAGTTCACCGACAGGCCATCCTGGCTCGACCACAGGGTCACTGGCTGCCGCAGTGTGAAGTAGCCCTGCAGCACAATAATGCACAAGGCGCGTCTGCGTTTTACTTTGCAAGTCGACAAGACAAACATTCGCAACTATCCCTGCCCTTTAGTAGCGCCGAAGGGGCAATGTGGTGGTGGTGGCAACAATGACATACCCCCGCACTGCATTAGTTTGCATTCCCCATTGAGAACCATGCAATGTGCGTGTAAGATCCGGCAAGCGGTGACAGAAAAGTAAAGAGACACAACCATGGCAGCCATGCTGCTGGTGAGCACCTTGACAGCAGAGAGATTGACCGGCAGGAGGCGCACTTGCCCCATGGAGTCTCCCACAACAAGTCCGTTGATGTTCTGCGAGCCCACGTGGCAGGCCCACCAGCTGAGCGAGCGCGGGTTTGCCAGGCCCGACTCCAGCACCGAGCCCAGCACCACGTGGGCACTCGTGCTGGCCGGCACCAACACCTGCAAAGGACGTACGGTGAGAAGCGGAAAACCGAGTGGTGACTGGTTGGCGAGTACGAGGTACGTGTGTGTACGCTGAACTTATTTCGCACCATACGTAGACAACCACCTCCTCCTCCTCCTTCTCCCCATCCCCTTTACTCCCAATTTCAGTTCTTCCTCCCTTGGTTTTCCCTCCCCCCCATAAAAACTCTGACGCTCGCGGTTCCCACCAGGGTGGGGCAGTGAGCCCAATGTCTCCCCTCCTCTAAACCCAGCTACACAGAGTTTGGGGACTTCTTCTGTCCACGGAGTTTCAGTGCCCAGCCTCCTCACGTCGCGGTTTGTGATCTGTCATCATCATCACGATCCATGGGAAAATAGCCCATGGATCGTGATGTCCACTGAACATCTCGTCATTTGTTTCCACTTTTCTTTGTCTTGTGCCAATATGTTCAAAGTAGTGGCCACATCTTTCTGGCATCAACCTCTTTCTGTTGTCGCCAAGCCATCCTCTGTCAGGTCTTACTCTCATTCCGGTTCCTTCCATTTTTCCGAACGCACTTTTAATTTCCAGTTGTTGTCCATCTTACTATAGATGTGTCGAAATGGTTCCCCAATTTACTTCTCATCACTGCCTCCATCATCATGTCTTCTTCTATGGGGCAACCTATTTATTACTTCTACCTTGGTCACTCTCATCATCATCACGATCCATAGGCTCTGTACCGGGCTCATATTTGTTGTGTAGTAACTCTTGACACCCAGAAAACTTGCAGAGGAAGATGGAGACGAGGATTCTTACATAGGGCTGCTTGCCGTTTATTCACACTTTTGCACACTCTTATACACCGTTAACACTCTCTACCCTCGACGCTTACATCCGTAATGGCGCACGTCAGAACTATGCCCTTTAAGGGGACATCCCTCAGCTATCTACGCTCTGGTACGGCTTCCTTCATGCCTACCCCCTCGTCTGCCCCGGGCGGGGGCTTATCCAACACTGCCCGGCGACGAGGTGAGACCTCTACATCTCTAGCCCTTCTTCGGCGGCTGGGGTGTTCCCACGCAAGCTCTCGTTCCTCTTCCCATGGCGGCCACTTCACTCTCTCTACGGCGACCCCGCCCTCGTCCCGGGGTCCCCCTTAAGTACCCCGCCGCCTCGATGACATGACGTCATCACGTCATCCCACTCCTCTACAGATGACATGACGTCATCCCACTACTCCTCTACATATTGAAATACAATATAAACGATAAAAACAAAGAGATCCAGCGGAGTTGCGAGCCGGTGCCTCGGTACCTGCCAAACGACGATGTGGCCGCTGGCCATCATCACGGCGAGGAGGGCGAAGCGAATCTCCTCGCAGGTGCCCGTCTTGTCTCTGACGCGCGTCGTCGTGAACATGCGCGACCACTCCACGCTCACGGGCGCCTGCATCTGGCTCCTCCGCTGGGAGCACACAACCACACAGAAAGACAAAGAGCCCCCATATAGCCTTTAGAAGACTCTTGGGGCAAGCTGTTAGCGAGTAACATCTATGAAGGCCGACACGGCACACGAGGTGGTGGCTGGCCAGCACCACGTCCGGCCGCCTCTGTCTCCCTAGTGGCGATGTTTACACGCCGCACCAGGTACTCAATTGAGGCTGAGTCGATCTCGCGAAGGCCCAGAACTGGTTCAGATAATCGTCACTGGTGTTAGCCCTGAGCAGGAATCGAACTTGGGTTGCTGGGTTCGGAGCGCAGCACGCAAACCGCGACACTACCGCTCCCCACACACACAATCATATTCACACAAAAACAACCGCCATTTTCCACTAAGTAGCGGTGATGTCACCACGGCACTTGTGCCAGGCCAGGTGCATTTTGAGGCCACATTAAGTGTTGAAGATTCACTGACAGGTCATGGGACAGAGCCAGCTGTGCCCCCTACCGTGCCAACTTGCTGCATATTAGCCAGCCGGCACTCCACTCGTTGTCGTGAGCATCGCTCCTCTGCCCTCCGTTGTTGCTGGAGGAAGACTGCCTCCTACTGCCCAGTAGCGACCTTCATGAGCCTCCTCCAGAGGCCAATCTTGACACCGATGGTACCAGTCTTTGGCAAGTCCACTCAGCTCCACATCCTCCTATACCTCATCCGTCCATCTCTTCTCTAGCCCGTGTCGTGCCTAATTAACCCCCTCTATCTGGCCAAACAGAAGCTGCTTGACATGCGGTGGTTGGGCATGCGGGCTACATGCCCCAGCCAACACAGTCTTGCCTGCCAGAGGAGCTCACCGATGGGAATGCGACTAGATCTTTCAATGATTTGAGAGCTCCTCACAAAACCCAGCTTGGTTAAACCCAGGATGGATCGTAGGCAGGCCGACCTGAATGTTTCGAACCGGCGCACGCTCAACCACACACACAGCTGCTCACCCGCACGGTCACACGGACCGACACACGCGCTCACTCACGCGCTCACGCCCAGCACGCCGGCAGATACCCCGGCGCGAAGCGAGGGCCACAGCCATGGCATGTGGGAGGTGGCCAGGAGGCTCTGGGGGATAAGGCCAAAGTGCCTGCGTGGTAGATGCTCACCACACCTCAAGAAGCACAACAGCCTCTCTGGTCAGTGCGGGCAGGTGAAGAGGAACCTAGGCCCGGTTCAAATTCGACTTGCCACTGGTGGTAGCCATGGCCAAGAACTAAACTCGGGCAACTGATTTTAAAGCGAAGTGTGATAACCGCTGAATCACCGCTCCACCGGCTTCCTTTAGGTTGTTTTATTTAAACTCGAATTACTGCTCTAAAATGCTTTGAGTGGAAGCCGTTCCTTGCATAGATCCGAGGTAGGGCATCCCTGGGGCAGGCCGACCCCAGGCAAGGGAGCAGGCTGGGGCTGGAGCCTCTTCCCAGACTACTTCATTCATCCCTTTACTTCTGCCCGTGGACATGGGATATGTTTGATTTTAAATCGCTCCATAATCTAAAACTGAAATGAAAAACACGAGGAACTGATTTGCATCGACATGCGAAACATTTGAAGATTGCAGCAAAGATTCACGAACAAAAGTATCCACACAATTAGCTCAATGGTATTGGAGCTGCATTACACACATGTAAAAGAACAAGATTAACAAAGTTCATGTCGATGCATCACCGACAGGGAAACTGGCAGTGAAGCAAAGCAAGGTGCCATGCGTGGGACGAACCTTGAATTCATCAAAGTCTTTGAGGGAGGCCCCATCAGCTGCGTGGTAATTTTCCTTCTTTAAAATGTCTCTGTACATTTGGGTGAGGTCCGCGAGGCACGACCAGGTGTGGACGTCGCGCTCGGCCCACACCCACAGCGAGACGAAGCCCTCCGAGGAGAGGCACACTAGCAGAGAGCGCCCACGCACGTCGCACCCCACGGGGCTCCAGCGTGCACACACGCAGCCACCTGCAGCCAGCGCACACAGCCATCAGTGTGACACACAGCCACTCACGTCACTCACACAGCCACCAGTGTCACACACAGGCACTCACGTCACTCACACAGCCACCAGTGTGACACACAGCCATTCACGTCACTCACACAGCCACTCAGGTCACTCACACAACCACCAGTGACACACACAGCCACTCACGTCACTCACACAGCCATCAGTGAGACACACAGTCACTCACGTCACTCACACAGCCACCAGTGTCACACACAGCCACTCACGTCACACACACAGCCACTCACGTCATTCACACAGCCACCAGTGAGACACACAGCCACTCACGTCACTCACACAGCCGTCAGTGTGACACACAGCCACTCACGACACTCACACAGCCACCAGTGAGACACACACAGCCACTCACGTCACTCACACAGCCACCAGTGTGACACACAGCCACTCACGTCACTCACACAGCCACCAGTGAGACACACACAGCCACTCACGTCACTCACACAGCCATCAGTGTCACACACAGCCACTCACGTCACTCACACAGCCACCAGTGAGAGACACAGCCACTCACGTCACTCACACAGCCACCAGTGAGACACACAGCCACTCACGTCACTCACACAGCCGTCAGTGTCACACACAGCTACTCACGTCACTCACACAGCCACCAGCGTCACAAACAACCACCAGCGTCACACAAAGCCACTCACGTCACACTCACAGCCATCAGTGTGAGACACACAGCCACTCACGTCACTCACACAGCCACCAGTGTGAGACACAGTCACTCACGTCACTCAAACAGCTACCAGTGACACACACAGCCACTCACGTCACACACACAGCCATCAGTGTCACACAGCCACTCACGTCACACACACAGCCATCAGTGTCACACACAGCCACTCACGTCACTCAAACAGCCACCAGTGTCACACACAGCCACTCACGTCACACACACAGCCATCAGTGTCACACACAGTCACTCACGTCACTCAAACAGCCACCAGTGACACACACAGCCACTCACGTCACACACACAGCCACCAGTGTCACACACAGCCACTCACGTCACTCACACAGCCTCCAGTGACACACACAGCCACTCACGTCACACACACAGCCACCAGTGAGACACACAGCCACTCACGTCACTCAAACAGCCACCAGTGACACACACAGCCACTCACGTCACTCACACAACCACCAGTGACACACACAACCACTCACGTCACACACACAGCCACTCACGTCACTCACACAGCCACCAGTGTCACACACAGCTACTCACGTCACTCACACAGCCACCAGCGTCACAAACAGCCACCAGCGTCACACAAAGCCACTCACGTCACACTCACAGCCATCAGTGTGAGACACACAGCCACTCACGTCACTCACACAGCCACCAGTGTGAGACACAGCCACTCACGTCACTCAAACAGCTACCAGTGACACACACAGCCACTCACGTCACACACACAGCCATCAGTGTCACACAGCCACTCACGTCACACACACAGCCATCAGTGTCACACACAGCCACTCACGTCACTCAAACAGCCAGCAGTGTCACACACAGCCACTCACGTCACACACACAGCCATCAGTGTCACACACAGTCACTCACGTCACTCAAACAGCCACCAGTGACACACACAGCCACTCACGTCACACACACAGCCACCAGTGTCACACACAGCCACTCACGTCACTCACACAGCCTCCAGTGACACACACAGCCACTCACGTCACACACACAGCCACCAGTGAGACACACAGCCACTCACGTCACTCAAACAGCCACCAGTGACACACACAGCCACTCACGTCACTCACACAACCACCAGTGACACACACAACCACTCACGTCACACACACAGCCACTCACGTCACTCACACAGCCACCAGTGTCACACACAGCCACTCACGTCACTCACACAACCACCAGTGAGACACACAGCCACTCAAGTCACTCACACAACCATCAGTGTCACACACAGTCACTCACGTCACTCACACAGCCATCAGTGAGACACACAGCCACTCACATCACTCACACAGCCACCAGTGTCACACACAGCCACTCACGTCACTCACACAGCCACCAGTGAGACATACAGCCACTCACGTCACTCACACAACCACCAGTGTCACACACAGCCACTCACGTCACTCACACAGCCACCAGTGAGACACACACAGTCACTCACGTCACTCACACAGCCACCAGTGTGACACACAGTCACTCACGTCACTCACACAGCCACCAGTGAGACACAGCCACTCACGTCACTCACACAGCCACCAGTGAGATACACACAGCCACTCACGTCACTCACACAGCCACCAGTGTCACACACAGCTACTCACGTCACTCACACAGCCACCAGTGAGATACACAGCCACTCACGTCATTCACACAGCCACCAGTGTCACACACAGTCACTCACGTCACTCACACAGCCACCAGTGTCACACACAGCCACTCACGTCACTCACACAGCCACTCACGTCACTCACACAGCCATCAGTGTGACACACACAGCCACTCACGTCACTCACACAGCCACCAGTGTCACACACAGCCACTCACGTCACTCACACAGCCACCAGTGAGACACACACAGCCACTCACGTCATTCACACAGCCACCAGTGACAAACACAGCCACTCACGTCACTCACACAGCCACCAGTGTCACACACAACCACTCACGTCACTCACACAGCCATCAGTGTGACACACAGCCACTCACGTCACTCACACAGCCATCAGTGAGACACACAGCCACTCACGTCACTCACACAGCCACCAGTGAGACACACACAGCCACTCACGTCACTCAAACAGCCACCAGTATCACACACAGTCACTCACGTCACTGACACAGCCATCAATGTCACACACAGCCACTCACGTCACTCACACAGCCACCAGTGTGACACACAGCCACTCACGTCACTCACACAGCCACCAGTGTGACACACAGCCACTCACGTCACTCACACAGCCATCAATGTCACACACAGCCACTCACGTCACTCACACAACCACCAGTGACACACACAGCCACTCACGTCACTCACACAGCCATCAATGTCACACACAGCCACTCACGTCACTCACACAACCACCAGTGACACACACAGCCACTCACGTCATTACACAGCCACCAGTGTCACACACAGCCACTCACGTCACTCACACAGCCACCAGTGAGACACAGACAGCCACTCACGTCACTCACACAGCCACCAGTGAGACACACACAGCCACTCACGTCACTCAAACAGCCACCAGTGTCACACACAGTCACTCACGTCACTCACACAGCCATCAGTGTCACACACAGCCACTCACTTCACTCACACAGCCACCAGTGTGACACACAGCCACTCACGTAACTCACACAGCCACCAGTGTCACACACAGCCACTCACGTCACTCACACAGCCGTCAGTGAGACACACACAGCCACTCACGTAACTCACACAGCCACCAGTGTCACACACAGTCACTCACGTCACTCACACAGCCATCAGTGTGACACACAGCCACTCACGTCACTCACACAGCCACCAGTGAGGCACACACAGCCACTCACGTCACTCACACAGCCACCAGTGTCACACACAGTCACTCACGTCACTCAAACAGCCACCAGTGTCACACACAGTCACTCACGTCACTCACACAGCCATCAATGTCACACACAGCCACTCACGTCACTCACACAACCACCAGTGACACACACAGCCACTCACGTCACACACACAGCCACTCACGTCATTCACACAGCCACCAGTGTCACACACAACCACTCACGTCACTCACACAGCCATCAGTGAGACACACAGCCACTCACGTCATTACACAGCCACCAGTGTCACACACAGCCACTCACGTCACTCACACAGCCACCAGTGAGACACACACAGCCACTCACGTCACTCACACAGCCACCAGTGTCACACACAGCCACTCACGTCACTCACACAGCCACCAGTGTCACACACAGCTACTCACGTCACTCACACAGCCACCAGTGTCACACACAGCCACTCACGTCACTCACACAGCCACTCACATCACTCACACAGCCATCAGTGTCACACACAGCCACTCACGTCACTCACACAGCCTTCAGTGAGTGAGACACACACAGCCACTCACGTAACTCACACAGCCACTCACGTCACTCACACAGCCGTCAGTGACACACAGCTACTCACGTCACTCACGCAGCCACCAGTGTGAGACACAGCCACTCACGTCACTCATATCCAGACTTCAGCCACCCCTTGTCAAACCAGCTTCTGAAGTATGAATGTATCTTGAACTTCTTTCGCACCGTACATAGCCAAACGTGCTAATCAGAGGTGTAGCAAACTGACAAGTCTCAACCCGGTCCCCATCCTAATAAATCGGTTTTTTTTTTACACAACTTGGAAAATTCCAGCTCTGTGCATCGATGCTCACCGCGCAGCGGCACGTTGGAACCGTGCGTGCGTGTGAAGCCACGGTGCAGCGCAAACTCGTGGCGATCTGCGGCTCCCAACGTCCCCTCCTCGCCGGCCTCCTCCAGGTGGACGCGCGCCGCCGCCGCCTCCTCCTCCTCCTGCTGCAGCTGCTGCCCCACGGACACCGCGGAGGTGGCGGAGGGGATCTGTGGGGACCACGCGCAACGCCGGAGACAAACGCACGCGGTGCTGGGATCGACCCCCGCGCTGAACCTGGAACAGTGCAACGTCGACCCCGGACGATGAAACTTGGAGGGGCAAATGGAGTTGAGAAGAAGCCACAAACACCCCGTGGAAGACACGACGCAAAATATCCCCTGGCTTTGGATCTTACAGGAAGCTCATGGGCCACAACCCGAAACCAGCGCGCAATCGTGGCCACCCAGAACAGAACCAATTCCCCATTCACAAAAACAGAGGAGGCATCGGAGAGATTGTCTCCACTCACTCCTCATGCAATCATCCGGCTCAACCACCTCCATGTAAGACCACAGCTGTTGCTCTACGCCAGCGGTGCTCAAGAGTAGTGGACCCGTACCACCAGGAGTCCGTGACAATCCTCTTCGTGGTCCGCGGCGCTGTGATGCAAATACAGTTTGATCCGGACGATGAATAGTTTAGTTATATTTCATTTAAAAATAAAGTTAGGTAACTACCCTGATTAAACTACCCTAACCCTACGATTTTAATTCCACCCCGAAAAAAAACCCCTTAAACCTGCGTTTACATTTTTTTTGTATGTTCCGGTAATATGAATGACTTTGTATTCGTGGCATTTAGAGAGAGGTGAAGAAAGCCTTTTGTCACCAGGGGTGGTGATGTTGGTGGTGGTGTTGATGGTGTTGATGTTTGTGGTGATGATGTTGGTGGTGATGGTGATGTTAGTGGTGGTGGTGGTGATGTTGTTGTTGTTGGCGATGCCCCGTGGCTGCCCCACCCCCCCCGGCACCTGCAGCGCGGTGACGCGGAGTCGAGGCCGCGGGTCGCCCACCCCGGGCGCCTCCTCCTCCCCCCCGCCCAGCAGGAGGATGTCGGCGACGCGGACTCCGCGCTCCGAGCTCACGCTCACGCGCTCGTCCCGCGACCACTGCACGGGCTCGGGGCCGCGGGGACGCGCGCCCAGGCGGGACGGCGCCGCGTGGAGCCGCATGGGGGACGCGACCCCCCCACCCCCCCACATACTCCGCACGGAACCCCGCCGCTGTCCCTCTGCGTCTGCACGAGCGCGGCGCCTGGCGGTGTCGCTCGCCTGCCGGGTAGATGGTGCGCGGGGCGCTCTTGCTGCGGTGCGCTGGCCGGGGACGTGCAGGGCGCCCTGCCACGTGTGCGTGTGACCGCGCACGTGCTCACACCCTGAACGCACGGACCAGGGCGCGCGTTTGGCAGCGGCCGATTCGCGGCGCGGAGGCGACGCCAGCTCAGAGGGATTCCTTCCAGGAGAGCCGCGTCACTCCGGGGCGGGAGGGGTGGGGGGGTTCCCCCGTCTCGTCACCAAATATGGACACCCGCCCACGTGGAGAAGAGAGAACGACGTCGTCGTTTGTTCGTGGGTTTACTCTCCAACACACAACCGGTCGAACCAAAATATCTATTATGAATCATAATATCGCCTGCGAAAACCTACTACGCACAAAGGTTGTGATTGATGCGTCGTATTTATCGGTGGATGGCGGTTGATCAGTTTAACACGAAGTAGGCTTTCACGAGCAATATCATGAAAAGGTTTTGGGTTATAATTCCTCAATATAAATGTGTCATTAACCCACCACCACCCGGATACAGCCAGTTAGTAAGGTTTGTCATGTAAACAACACGTGCCAAGCACAAATCTGGAAAATTGCCTGATGGAGTTGGTTGCAATAAGAGAAATATCATACTGATATTGTAAATGTGGTGGGTTTACTCTCCAACACACCGCGGCTTGCTGAAGTAGTCACTAATTGGCACGTTTTGTTTACGTGACAAACCATTACTAATTCGCTGTAGCGGGATTAACGACGTATTTATATTTACGCGATCTAATTCAAACAAAACCCATTATTCTGAACAACTTCGTTAGCTGAACGTTACACCGCCTCATTATCTGTCCCTCCACATCAAATAAACAGTACAGTATGCCGATTTTTACACATGCCATCAGCCACCCGGCTCTTCCTTCTGGGAGTGCATAATTTCAAAACCATTGGGTAAAGACAAGCAACACTGAACCGGTTTCGACATACAGCGTCTCATCAGAAGTCAGGTCGAGCTTGACTCAATGTTGGTGAACTGCCAAATGTTGGATATCTACAGGGTGTTTCAAAAAGATGGACCCAATTTAAAAGCAGTATATTTCACGATGGCAACATGTTACAATTACACAAAAAGTTACAAACGGTTTAATGAGTTTTACTAACCATTTTATAAATGCTTTATGTGCCCTCCACCTGCTGTACGGACAACATCGAGACGATAGTTGAATTTGTCCTAAACGCTTTCTTTTGTCACCTGCACGAAGAGCCTGGACCATTTGCAACCGGTATGGCCTCATGATTAAACGTCGCCTTAACAGTCGCCAGACAGTCGTATGAGGAGGGATCGCAAGTTCTCGGCTGGCACGACGAGTGGACTTGCGCGGGCTACGCAGAAAACTCTCTTGAATTCTTCTCACGTTTTCCTGAGGTGCGTGGTCGCCCTGTGCTGTTCTCCTTACATAAATAGCCTTTTTCCTCAAATTGTCGGTACCAACGACGAATGCTCTTTGACATTGGCGGACCAATGCCAAAACGCCATTGAAACGCACACTGCACCGCAATTACGGATTCAGTCTTGCCGAACTGCAGAACGCAAAACGCCCATGAATGAGTTTCATTCATGGGCGGTTCGTGATTGCAGAGATATATCGATTTCAAATCGGGTCCATCTTTTTAAAACACCCTGTATATATACGGGCGCCGCTGGCGGTGGCGAGATGTTAACTACCTTGCTTCGTGTACATGAAGTCGTGGGTTCAATCCTGATTCTGACGCCTGCTGTATATTTGGAGTTTGCATATTGTGGTCGCGTGGATTCTTCTCTGGTTTTGCCCACCACATTATTAAACACGCGTTTAGAGTATTTTGCTGTCATAAATGGCCACGTGATAATCCACTTCGTTGAGCTATCGTTTGTGGCCAAGTCGCTTCTTAAAAAGAGCTACGTAGCTCAGTGGGCCTTATCTGGTAAAATAAAAACTAGTTTTAATAGTTTCATATTGTACATGACACAAAATAATAATTAGCGTCAATGTGAAGAATGTAAAAACCAAAATCAATTCGGCAGATCGCCAATCGTAGCGGCTCGCGCACTGGTTCAATCTCCCAGTGCGGCAGTTGAAACAACGGCGCAGATTTATTAAATCCCCCTCCTCCCTATCCAACCGGCAATATACATGGGCACACCAGTGTCGAGCCGCAGGTCGCGTCTGGCCAGCGTGAAAGAGGAGATCAAATTGCATCTAGAGGTCTCCTCTTGTGTAGTCAGTTCATTACCCACGCAAAACCCACTGAAAATGTATTTCTTCAGAACTTTGTGTTTAGTTTCTTGTCTTTGCCCCGCACCTCCTATAAAGTTGGCTACATACAGTGCGAGAGAAGTTCAACACGTATATTGTGGAAGCCCTTCTGCTAGCAGCGGCGTGAGCAAGCACTTGCATGGCTGCACCTGTACCTTGTCTGTGTTGTGAACGCGGCATCGCGTTGTGTTCATGGGGTGTCACGGGACCGAGACAGTTCTGGAGCGGACGAGGTAAGGTGAGTTAGAATGTCAGTCACGTGTCACTCGAAGTGGCAACACCAGCATGCAATACTTTATTTTTTTAAATACTTCACCTGTAAAATCCCGAGATGGAACATCTCGTTTTCAAGCGTGTCTATTGACACACAGCAGACACGTGATGACACTGTTCCACACAGACCCCCCCATATAGTCTTTAATATACTGTTGGGGCAAGTGCTGTTAGCGAGCATCTACTTATACACACACAACATACACAGACCAGCCCATAGCAACATTGCCTATCAACAGCACTGGCAATCCCACTTCGGACACCAATCTGTCACGCGACGCAGTCTGTCTGAATTGGTGGCAGAAGTGTATCGATAGTTACATGTTACCGTATTGAGCGATTGTGCTGTGGTCTGGGATTATTGTTGTTCTATCTCCCCAAAGCTTGCATCGATTGTACAAAAAATCGGCAGGAATTAATACACTTTTGCAATTTGTACTTTTTTCTTGATGAATTTTATTTATTGTGACTTGTTTACCTTTCCTATACTTTGCACTATCGGTGTTTGTATTTTGTTGTTGTAACTTTCTAACCCGCCCCAACTGGACATCTGTGAAAAAGATGTTCATAGCTCGTCGAATTCATTTATCCAGTGGATGAATGAATTTAGTCAGGATGAGGGTTCGGCATCGTAACGCGAGACCAGAGAAACAAATCAACTCTGGGCAATAATCGACTCTCCAGTATCACATTCACTAAGTTGGTTCATAACCTTGGTGAACATCATCAATCTATAACTACACACGACGGCAAACTCTGCAGACACTGTTGCCAGGTTGCTTCTGAAAAATAAGTGAATACTTCAGTGGGCTTTGCCAGGTAGGATGGGATTGGCTTGGTTGTATTTGTGTGTTTGGGTGATTTGTTTACCTTTCTTGTACTTTGCACTCCTATTATGTTTTTGTATTTGTCGTTCTTACCCCATGCCCCTACTGGGCATCTGTGAAAAAGCTTTATAGCTCATCGGATTCCTCCAGTATAGATAAATATTCTCATTCTGAATATAAATGAATATATAAAAGTATACAATTACTTTAATTACAAATATACAGTACATACACGTTGCCATCTGGAGAATGTGTATTGATTAATTGTGTAATAACTGATGTGATGTCTCAACGTGGGCATATAAAACAGCCAGCCATATGTTACGTCGACCTTTATTCACATTGTACATGTCAGTATATTACTGTGAACATTGGGAGTGTACATTTTAAACCTTTGCATAGCATTCTTGTCATCGGCACGGTGGTACAATGCCAGAGGCGGTGACGTGGCCAAGCCAGGTCAACGTTCACTCCTTGGTGCAGAGTGGCAGGCTGCCCTGGTTATCGCTGTAGGGGTCTAAGCAGTGGCGGCTCGTCAATAGAGGGCGCAGGGGCGCCGCCCCCATCAATATTCAAGAAATATACATATGCAAAATGTATATAAAAATACATAAATAAAATATTTTTTTCATACGATGTGCCGGCTGGTAGTAAGAAAAGCATCAGCATTTAATAAAAACTGGCTTTAATCGGTCAACTATTTTCTATGTTTTTCAATGTGTTTCATGCGGGGCGCCGGACAAATGGATGTCTATGTGAGACTTTACATTTTCGGACAGCATGTGACCTGAAGCTGGTCTCTAATTGGTTTCTTAAAGATTCTCCTCGGGGCGCAAGTCGTTGCGTCCCTGGCCAATCAGAATTGGATACATGTTATTTTATCCAATCTGATTGGTTCTCGTCACCTGTCATTCAAATTTACGCTGTAGGCCACTACTGCGAGTGCGAAGGCGACACCACTTTGACACTTGCTAGGCTGATCAAATTTTTTGTGTAAACAATGGCAGCAGTTCATCCAAATTCTGTAATTTATTTACAAAAAAACCCTTTCACAAGGCTTTCGCTGGAAGAAATAAAAAAGATAAAGGATCTCGGACCGGACCAACCCGATTTACAAATCCAGCAGCAGGCCAGTGACAGAGGACGAAGCTACACACGAAGCTTCACCCGCGCTTGTTATGAGAAACGGAGGTGGCTGGCTGGATGTGATGTTAGCAATTCTCTTTTTTGTTTTCCCTGTCTTTTATTTCAAAGTGTCGGCACTGAAGTTTTGTGGACAACGACGGGGGTAAGAGACCTCAAACATCTCTCTGACAAATGCAAACGTCATGAAAGTAGCCGCAGCCATATTGATAATAGCATGAAACTAACGTTTTTATGTTCAAGTAGGAAACATGCTTTTTGGTACTTTGGTCTGAAATGTATATAAAAGAGAAACATTTATGTTCAAGTAGGAAACATGCTTTTTGGTACTTTGGTCTGAAATGTATATAAAAGAGAAACATTTATGTTCAAGTAGGAAACATGCTTTTTGGTACTTTGGTCTGAAATGTATATAAAAGAGAAACATTTATGTTCAAGTAGGAAACATGCTTTTTGGTACTTCTTTTGGTCTGAAATGTAAATAAAGATCATCAAAATTTATATTCAAGTAGTCAAAATGGTTTTTGGTACTGCTTTATATTTATTTGCCCCCCTCAATAAAATAAAAAAAATGCGCCCCCCCAAAAATAAATATCACCAGCCGCCACTGGGTCTAAGCTGTAACGTACGGCACCGTACGCACCGCCTGTTTCACACTGAACGTTCAGGATGCCCCGACGTCATTCTAAACGGGTTCGACCATTGTTTGCCAGCATTTTTTGGCCCACATTGGCCAAATAAAGAAAAATTACCTACAAATCACTCAATTGTGAATTACACACGGCAAAATCGCCCCCAATTATGACGCGACTGCAGACTACATCTGTGTAACATAGCGCCTTCGTGATAACCTTGCGCGACGGGAATAACGCGAAGACCAAATACTTAATTTTTATCATTCGATATGGGAGACCGGGCTGTTCACATCTATGTAGTGCAGCTACTCGAGTAAACGACGCGTCAATGTTAACTTGGAGTCTATTGACCCTTATTGCAAACATTCACAGCACTCTAAACATCACCTTTGCCTCCTTCAACTAAACCCCTCCTTGTCCTGCCCCCGGGTGAGCAATTGCTTTCAAGACAGTAAATGGCTTTTCGAGAGGAGGCGAGACAGAGCGGACCGCGGATCCTGGAGGAGGTCGTGGGGAGACGCGAACTCCAGCACTCGCCCGCCTCGCAGCAGGAGGACCCGGTCGGAATCCAGAATCGTGTTGGGTCTCAAAAAACCAAAGCAATGAAGCACACAACCAGACGGGCATGGTCTCAAAATCAGTGCCGAGAATCGGTAAGAGGTAAGCAGACGAAACTTTATATAACGTCACCCTGTTTATACCAAAATAAACGTTAGTCAGCTTTCGTGACCAATATTATCCATAAGAGGTTTTTGGGTTCGATCGTTTGTAATTTTATACGAACACTAACCCCCCTCCTCCACTTCTCTTTGCACCTGATTGGCTGACAAAAAAAGACATCACATGTATCCCTCTATTTAAGACCGAAAGAGGATTTCTCCACAACTCTGGCTGTCGCCTGATGAGACTGGTTGCTATAATTACCGGCTGAAACGTCGCGGTGCTCGAATTGTCAATGCTGTATTGGGTTTACTCTCCAACACACCGGTGTGATGAACTAGTAATGAATTGGCATGTTTTGTTTACATGACAAACCTTACTAATTGGCTGTCGGGTGGTGACAGATTTAACGACACATTTATATTTACGCGAACTCACCAGAAAACCTCTATTATGGGCAAAAAAGATGTTCATTTGAAATAGATCAGCCCCTTCTGGTGAGGAGGAATTGTCATTTGCTCTACATATGAACACTCGTGAGGACATCTACTAAGGGAGGTAGGCACAATGGTGACCATTCAGCTCTCAAATCCATGTTGTGCACAGATCTTGGAAGCTTAGCGGAGTTGCGCTTTGGTAGCACTCGGGGTGGCAGGTACCTATGGATACCAGCTGTGAGGTGGAAAGATCACAATACAGCAAAGCATTCTTGAATCTATTTCTGTGGAGATTTCAGTGTTCGAACCACTGGGACTATGCACTTTTAAATATAGATTGAAAACTAAAAACTAATTTATTTAGAACTGCTTTTTATATTTAGTTTGTTGCCCTTCCCCGGGCACCTCCGATTAGCACGGTTGGCTACATACGTAAGTACATACATACGTATGCATGTGTTTTCTGCACACAGTTTGGTTCGTTCTGTAGGCCAATTGCTCTTTAACGGATTTGGCCAAACATCTCATCCGAAAACCTCTTGAAAAAGAGTCCTGAGACTCAGGAACATCTGGGTAGAGGGCATTATCATTAGTCCTACTGTCACCTGCTATACACAATGCAAGAAGCCCGTCCTCATGCCGACTGGAGCGAAGCACATTGCGTAATAACATTTGTGTCCAAGTGTTTAGTTGTCTTACCGATGTGCAATAGTCAGCACTGTGCTGTTGACAAACTCGCTCCTGATGGTTTTTTGTAGCAGCACGTCCGTGTCTTGATCAACACTCGCAGTTGCTTCATCTATGCACAGAATCTGAATTGACATTAAAAGACAGGCAATTATAATTTCACAAATATATCAGCGAGGACTTTCCTTTTAGCAGATAAAAAGCTGCTGTTGATAATTACGTGTGACCTTTTTGCAAAGTAAATCAATAACTTTGTTTGACAATTCGGTAAATATACAGATTATGGGGTTACAAACACAGGCAAAATCTCAACAGCTGTGATAGTGAAAACTGGATGGAGTTTATTTCACTCGGAAAGCAAACGGTTTCTATCGGAATCAATTTGCAAAGGCAGATGAAGCAAACGGCAGCAGATGCCGACCTTGGCCTTGAAGAGCATGGCACGTGCCAGGCACAGCAGCTGCCGCTGACCACAGGAGAAGTCTCTTCCTCGCTCAGCCACCTCTGCTTGGAGGCCACCTGTCACAGACACGCGGGAAGTCTGGATGCTCCGCAATGCATTCACTCATTCGTTAACGCTTTGTCGTTCCGATGACATGTGCACATCATCAGTTTTTCTTCCGATTCCGTTTCTGATGATGTACGTGTACGTCATTGAAACGAAACGGGAAGAAATACCAAACTAAAATATCGTTATCGATACTGAGGTTCACATAAGGCCATGCAGGAGGGTGTGTGGCACAGTTTGGTACTAGCTACCGTAGAGTGCGGTCGTGTCGCTACACTTCTCTGCGGTGAGTGCAACGTCTTGAAGAACAATGGCGCTACGCCTCTCTAAATTAAATTAATGACGAGCCACTTGTGCATTCCGAGATTCAGCAGTGAACGGGACACCCCACCTTACAACTTGCAAAACATCTCGGAGTGGGAAAGGGTTAAATTGATATTACTGCACTTGCAGACACAGCAGTGCCAGTCCAACATCCTAGCACTGTAATTAGGGAGATGGGTAACATCACGAGTAGGGTTTTACTCAGGATGGTGGGTAGAGTGGTTCTAGTCTAGACTAGGGATGTTAAAACATATTATTGGTTTCGATTTAAAGCTTTCGTGACTGCAGGGATTCATCTTCTTGGTTCTTTCGGTAAAGTCACGTAGAAGGGAAGTAATAAAATAATAAAAATAAAACATAATAAAATAATTCTCACGACGTTTCGGCTACAACGCAAGCAGCCGTCTTCAGGTGAAGAATGAAACACTGCCAAGCTTGGAGCGTATATATAAGCTGGGTTGGAGGTGGAAGAAGAGCGCCTTGACAAAAAGAATTTGCATATCAAGATGAATTTATCATATTTATGGGAAATGCGTAGGAGGTGGGCGGGGGGGTTTCAAAGGCATATTATGCCCATGCATTATGCAGGATTAGCAGCATCAAACGGAGGGGGTAGGGGGTAGGGGGTAGCATTAACAAAGGGAGGGAATGTTAATAGTATGTAGAAGCAACGAAACATGTCAATGGGAGAGCGGTGGAGACCCGCAGCGGAGCAAATAATGCATTCCCTGTGGAGAACACAAGATACACAGTCAATGCCAGTGAGTGGACTGCGGTCTGAAAGTCACCGTAAACGTGAACAACAATCAGTTAAGATCCGAAATGGTTTATTACGTCCTTCCAATGATTGCTGAGCCAGAATCCATCTTCTCGGTTGAAATTGTCTCTGTGTTTGTATATGTGAATCGCCTCATGAACGAATCTCTCATGGTAGCCAGATGGCTTGCAGAGAACCTCTGTCTTGGAGAAGTCAATGTCATGTGAGCCCACTAAATTGTAACAGTGATCTGCCACGGCTGAGGTGTTTGTCCTACCGTGTTTCAGGTCTGCTTTATGTTCATGGATGCGGTCCGAGACATGTCGTTTGATTTCTCCAATGTAACTGCTACCACAGAGGCAACTTAGTTTGTAGACGCCAGGGTACTGTATGTCTGGAACTACGTCTTTTACAGATGGGACCAGATCACGGATTTTATGTACTGTGTTGAATCGGACCTGGATCTTGTGTTTAATCAGGATTTTGGTGATCTTTTTTGTGACCCCAGCAATGTAGGGTAAGGTGATGGTTTTGAAAGGCTCCTCAACAGGATCCTTCTTGATGGTTGGAGTGATGGCTTTGCGGATTGTGTAGTCGGAGTAACCATTATCCTTAAGAGCTTGGCGTACGTGTTTGAGTTCACTGGCAATGTGTTCCTGGTCGGAGATGCATTGGGCTCTATGGTATAGAGTCTTGATGAGGGAGTTCTTCTGGGATGGATGGTGGTGGGAATCCGGTTTTAGGTAGGCATCCGTATGGGTGGCTTTCCTGTAGACAGAATGGCTCATTGAACCATCAGGTCTCCTTTTAATTAGGACATCCAAAAAGGGTAGCTTGCCATCTTTTTCGACTTCCATGGTGAATCTGATGGCTGGGTGTATGGAATTGGTGGTCGAGATGAGCAGTGGCTCCTCCCACACGCTCCGTCGACCCGGCTCCGCCCCCCAATGCTCCGGCCCGCGTAGGGGTCGGCACGATTTGGCTCAAACCACCAAACCGCGGTTTGAACCGAACCAAATCGGTTTGGTTTGGCTCTGTTTGAACTGGTTCGGTTTGGTTTGGGGCTACGAAAACCGACTCGGTTTGGCTCGGACAGGGTGGAACCGGCTCAAACTAGTTTGGTTGGTTGTAAAGGCGACACGAAAGGACATGCTGTAGTTGCCTTTGCCTGCGAATTCACTTTGCAATTGCATCTCCATGGCTCGAGTGGCTCAAGACGGCGCCATCCCCGGCGGCTCCAGCATCACAAGGTATCTCATCCACGACGTGGAAGAGACCAAACACGCCGGTAGCGACGAGGAGCCGATGGCGAGCGAACGTGAGAGCCCGGACGCCACGCGCGGCGACACGCGGCAGAGCCTCATGCGCACCCTCGGCGCCGCAGCGCTGCAGACCGCGACGCAGCCCAAGCCCAAGAAGGCCCGTGTGTCCCGAGCGCTGTGGCACGACGAGTACTTTGAGACGAGCCAGGCCGCGGGCGACGTGCAGAGCCGGACCTGCAAGATCTGCACCCTCCAGTACGCGGGCTCCACCTCCTCGGGCACCTGTATCAAGCATCTCAAGACCCATGGGATCGTCGACCCCGAGTCGCCCACGGTCGTCACGTCGCCGCCGACGGGGAAGGGTTTGCTCGTGCAGTCCAAGATGGCCACGCCCATGTCAGCGCACGCGAGCAAGGCCATGGACAGCTTTGTCGCTGAGTACATCGCGACGAGTGGTCTAGGCCATAAACACGTAACATCGGATCCCTTTACGACTCTTCTTCAACGAGCTGCCCCAGGTTACGAGCCCAAGTCTGAGCGCACGGTCAAGCGCCGCATGCTCGAGATGTATGTCGTCCTCAAGCTACTCGTGCTACAGTACTTTACTACTTTTGGCTCTTGCGTCTCCTTGACCTACGACGGTTGGACAAACGACGCCATGACCGGCTTCTTCTCGGTCACCCTCCACTGGATGGACCCGGCGTCGTTCTCCATGTGCAACTGCATCATTGACTTCTTTTGGGTGGCCCCGGGCGAAGGCGTGGGCAAGCGCATGGCGCAGCGCCTGCACGAGCTGCTCGACGACTTTGGCGTGTGGCCGCGCCTGCTCGCCGTCGTCACCGACAGCGGTTCTGACGCCGTCGCATCCGCCAAGTCCCTCACGCTCCTCAGGGGGAGCAACCTGCGCTCGACGTGCTGCTTGCGGTGCATCGCGCACTGCGTCAACCTCGGCGTCAAGGCCTCATTCGGCGCGTTCGAGACACTGCTGCGCAGCCTCCGCGCGACGCTCGGCGCTATCCACAAGAGCAAGACGAAGAGGGCGGCCTACACGTCGCTCGCGCGGCACTACCTCAAGTGCCCGCTGCAGCCACCTTGCCTCGACGTGGTCACACGTTGGGGTAGCACGTACGTGATGCTCATGGCGTCGCTAAGGCAGCGCCAAGTGATCGACGCCATCTGCCTTGAGCCCGGCTGGTCGCGGAGCCAGGCCGGCTTGTCGGACGAGCAGTGGGAGCAGGCGGCGCTGCTCTGCCAGTTCTTGGAGAAGCCGGCGGCCATCTCCGATGCCATGGGCGCCGAGGAGTACTGCACCATCTCGAACGCCATCACGGCGCAGGAGGCTCTCTTGAGCCACTGCATGACCCACCGCCCGAGTCCTCATGTGGTCGTGAGCTCGGCCGCCGTGACCATCTCCGACTACATGGTCAAGTACAGCGACCTTCTCTCGTCCGAACCAAGCCGCGTCGCCCGCTTTCTCGACCTGCGCCACCCCAAGCCCGCGGCCTCGAGCACCGAGTACAGCAATATCAAGGACATGATGACGGACATTCTCAACCAGCGCTACCCAGCGTTGACGACGGACGCGGCGCCGAAGGCGGCGCCGCGTGGCGGCATTAACATCCTCTTTGACATGGTCTACGCGCCCAACGCTCACGACGGCGCCGCCTCCGAGGTCGACCGCTTCCTGCTTGAGCCGACTCAGGACCTGAGCATGGACGTTGTCAAGTGGTGGAAGCTGTACGGCGGCAAGTACCCGCGCCTACGATGCGTGGCCCTCGACTATTTGCCTATCCCGGCGTCGTCCGTGCCCTCCGAGAGAGCAAACTCGGCCGCCAAGCGCTCCTTTCTCGACCGACCAAACCTGCACAAGTGCACGTTCAAGGCCGAGATGTGTGTGCGCTCGTGGGCGCGGATGTTGCCTAGTGTTGGGGTTTCACTGCCATTGAACTACCACACTGCGTTCAAGGACATTGGGTGTGCCAAGCTTGAGGAGATGGCTGTGGACGACATCGTCGTCCAGTACTTGCTAGTGAATCTCAATATGAAGAAAGCCTGCGTAGAAATTAGCGAGTAATACACTTGATATTTGTATTGAATGCGAATATTGTTTGCCGCGCATCTTTTCGGTTCAAGCCAACTCAAGAGGTTTGGTTTAGCTTAGTTTGGTTTGGTTTTGGTTTGGTTCAGTCGTCGCTGGTTTGGTTTGGTTTGCTCAATTTGAAACCAGTTTGAGTCGGTTCAAACCGTGCCGACCCCTAGGCCCGCGTGATTGTCGCGGAGGCCAACAACCACCCCGTTTATGCTCGCATTACAAATGTACATTAATTATGTTTGTGTGCAGACATCTCATTTTTCGATTCCTTGCTTCATTCACTCAACTCATGTACACAGAAACCTGGTATTTTAATAATCACCTTGCTAGTATTCACATATTTTCGTTTGTGTGCTCACAACTATTAATTTATTAATAATTTGCTCTGTGTTTATTTATTTACATATTTTTTTGTCAAATCACGTTGATAGAAACCTATTTATAAAATAATCACCTGGCAAATAATACAATCATGATGTTTGTGTGCAGACAAATTATATTTCTGTTCCTTGCTTCTTCCGCTAAACTCATGTACATTTACAGTGTGTGTAAGTCGATGTGTGTGTCTGTCTTTTTCGCCCGGGCAATGCCGGGTACTTACGGCAATGGAAGCTCATTCATGCTAATCTCCCTCCCTAATCTCTCTCTCTCTAATCTCCCCCATTAACACAACTGACGTGCTTACGTCTGTGGATGGAATTCCTTTCCAGCTCAGACCCCACTTGCTTGCCCATTGCCACATCAATAACCTCTTGTTGTAACTGATCTCTCGCTGGTTCAGCAGTTCCACTTAGGCCTCGGCAAGGTAAGGTAAATTACCCTTTTTACCGGGTAAAAGGGTAAATGTAAAGGGTAAAGGTGTCGACATGCCAAGGAGTAAGGTATAAGGTAGGGTAAAGGTAGCTCGGAAGAATTACCCGGTAGGGTAAAGGAAGCGCGAAGTATTACCCGGTAAATACGGTGCCTTGTTTACCACTAAAAGCTCCGTGGCGCAGTCCGTGGCCTCCATTTAACAAGTAATATTTAAAACAACTTTTTTTTTAAACACGCTTTTATTAAATGTACTAGTAATGGCAGAACTCCACGACTCCAGGAAGTGACCCCGAAGCTTGCCACAACGTAAGGGACCGTGTTGATTTACAGCCAACGTCAGTTGAGCGTGGACAATTAGACCCAAGCCGATACATAACGTAAACAAAAGATCGTTTAAAAATATGTATTTTTTTTAGTGATATAACATAGTATTGTCATCAGTATGACATACGTATACCAAGTTTGCAGTCGATACCACATTAGGAAGTGGGTAAAATTGAGTTACAAGATTTGAGGATACGACAGCGACGACGACAACAATGACAACAATTACAACAATAACGACAACAACAACAATAACGACAACAGACAGCGTGAGTTCAAAGAAAGCGTGTAAAATTTGAATCATCAAGAGTATTCTATATGAATAAAGCGCTCTACCTAGCATTTACCGTTATAAACCTTGTTCATGTGTAGTAGTACCCCAGTAATTACCCTGTAATCGGGTCATTTGTATGGGGTAAGGGTAAAAGGTAGGGTAAAAGGTAGGCTTGTTGCTTTTTACCTTTTACATTTTACCTTACCTGCTAAAGGGTAAAAGGTAAGGGTAGAGTGATTGTATTGTGGTAAGGTAAAAGGTAGGGTAAAGGTAGGCTCGTTGTTTTTACCTTTTAACTTTTACCTTACCTTGCCGAGGCCTAGTTCCATTGCTGGATTATATTTTTTCCGCCTGAGGACGACCGCTTGTGTTGCGATCGAAACGTCGTGATATATTTTATGTTATACCTACGTGACTTTACCGAAAGAACCAAAGAGTACAGAGATGTACACTCGCATGCCTTGGTATTGTGGGTTAAAGGACGGGCAGCATGAAGCAGTTGTGGGGGTATTCTCATAAGTAACGACACTGCATTGTGTGTTCCCCAGTGACTTCCAGTGGATGAATGAATCAATTTAGTCAGGATGAGGGTTCGGCATTGTAACGTGAGGCTGGAGAAACAAATCAACTCTGGGTAATAATCGACTCTGTAGTATGCACTTGCTGAAATCAAACATCAAATTGACTAAGTTGGTTTATAATAATAATGACATTTATAACACGCCAGAATTTGCAGACAAGTCAATTACCGGTACTCAGAGGCCTGGAGCCAAGCTCAGGGTTGCTTGAAAGCCTGACCAGACAGATAGGGGAGGCCTTTTAGATGTTTATTGAAAGTAGTCAGCGTGCATTTGATGTTGCAGATGTGCAAAGCACAGAGGGGGCGACAGCAGAGAACCGACGTGAGGCTGTAACAGTTCGAGACCTTGGTGTCCGAATCAGATTTTGAGTGAGGCTGCTGCGGAGGGTTCTACCGAGCCTTCAGTGCAAGGCGAAAGTAGTTTGGTGGGGAACCAGTGGTGAAGGTGCGATGACCAAGGCAGGCGCAATTTTAAAATTAGTCCTGCTGACAAAAGGGCGCCAATGAAGAGTACGGAGAGCGGTGGCCGAGTCGAGTCGTAGATGATGGACACAAACGACGACACGACCAAAGTTGTTCTGTAACCGTTGCAATTTGAAGATGTTGCTTGATGATGACTTGGAGAGAATGGTATGACGGTAGTCGAAGCGAGACCCGACTACACTGCAGACAAGGGTGTTGGCAATATCGATGGTAACGGGTGTCAAATCTGCAGACACTGTGGTCAGGTTGCTTAATAAGTAAATACCTCGGTGGGCTTGGCCTGGTATGATGGGCATAGTTTAGTTTTATTTGTATTTGTGTTTGGGTGATTTGTTTGCCTATCTTGTACTTTGCACGACTGTCGTGGTTTTGTGCTGTTTGTTGTTGTAATATTCTTACGCCTTGCCCCGACTGGCCATCTGTGAAAAAGAGCTTTATAGCGCATCGGATTCCTGCAGTATAAATACATATTCTGATTCTGATACACAATATCTCCCACATGTAACGCTTTTTGAACATCTGCACTACAGCTCTGAAGGACAAGTCGACATGATTTGCTTCATTCGAGTCTGCCAAGTCTCTGAATCTGGGCAGTGCGAACCTTCTGCTCTGACCCCCAGGCACAGCATTCATCACCGCCACCCACACCACCCACACCACCCACATCACCAACACCACTCACATCACCAACACCACCAACACCACCCTCACCACCCACACCCATCTCTCGAGGCCAATTCCCTCCACGTGTTTTAGTGGCATGCTGAAGACGGTGTATTAGTAAAAAAAGTTAAAGAGTTTCTACATACTCTACGTGTATACATCCGTACAATGTGAGAGACAAAGATAAATATCCCTGTATAGCGTACATACACAAACTGTCGGGGCAAGTGCTGTAAGTGAGCATCTATTAAGGCTGGCATGACGCACGAGAGGGTGGTGTGGGGTGGTGTGGCCAGCCTTTGTCTCCCCAGTGCTGGTGTTTACATAGCGCACAATATGTGAGAATGCACACACATACATACCCTGATCAAGGACAAAGCTTTTCAAATGACATTTCTCCAACACTTCCCACAGTTCATGGTCCTGGTATGAACCTTTGGGGTCCAAATTATTCCGAACTGTGTCACTGAACAAGAATGGGTCTTGTGGGATTATCGCCAAGTTAGACCTAAAACATAAATAATTACATTACACGTTATATTTTCTCATTCTATTTGTAAAAACATATACATACACATTTGACCTCTTTTACGTGGTCAGCCGTTTGGTCAGTCCCGTTTTTATATTTTTGCTATCCATCATTTTGCCTCTGGATTATATCGAGGGCCTTTCCTTCCATCCTGTGTACGATGTCACGGCTGCGTTTTTCTTATTGCTACCGAGACGTTGCTGACAACTTCTCCCATCTTCTTTCCCTTGGTCTACCCTTCAATTATTGTTACGACACGCCCCATCTGTTTCCATCTTAGAACTCCTCATTAATTGTGGCGTCTTTCATCCTCTGACCTTAGGATCTCTCTCCCCGTTCATCTTCCTCTCTGTCCAGCTCATAATGCTTTACATTGGTAGCCTCCTGCATGCAACGTGTTTGTTCAGTTGATAGAGGTCAAGCATGGCTCAAAGACACCCATGGCCTCCTCGGCATGAGAAACGCAGGAGGAAACAGTTCGGCCACGCTCTTCCCAAGGGTCATATTTTAAGGTAACAAGATTACAAAAGCCTTGGCACTTCAGTTTACAATGCTTCCAGAAAAAAATGACCTTGAGGAATCTTGGAATCTGCCTTCCCCCAAAATTCTAAATGATAGCCTTCTGTGACGGTCTGAGAAGTTCAGAGAGTCATCTCGGTGATCCACTCCATCCTATCTCCGCTTTGTGTGGACCAGAAGTCAACTTGATCTCAGAGGTAGCTCTGTGGCGTCCGCTTCCACATGCCATTCTCCAGCACGGAGGGCGTGAGACACCTGAGGGGATACTGTATCTCATGACGTGACGCCGATAGCGCAAATCGGGATAACATTGGGGGATTAAATTTCGAAAAATGGGGAATGAGTCGATCCACGAGGTGGTGGCAGAAGATTCGCTTTTGGAGCTTCCCGGCGTTGTGAGCCCTTAGAAATTCCAAAGCTCGTGGGGACTGACGCCACTTCTGGATGAGCACCCCAGAAATCTAGGAAACTGACAGGGCCATGTGATCTGCACATGGCTATTGGTCACGCCGGGCACTGCAGTGACTGTGACAAATTTCTGCCACGAGGGCTTTCATCAGCACGCGTGCGGGGGAGCGTGTCCACCGCTGCCGCCTGAAACATGCTTAACCAATAAAGAGCACCAAGTTAGGTTTCCATAACTTTTTACACTTCCCACAAACAAATAATTTCGAATATTACCTTAATTGTTTGAGAGCGAGTTTTGAGATGTCCTGATCGTCAATGTAGACTGCTCCGTGCTGTACGTCCACAATGCGGAAGAGAACTGAAAACAGAGTGGACTTCCCGGAGCCAGTCCTTCCAACTATCCCCACCTTCTCCCATGGATTTATGCAAAAAGAAATTCCATTTAAAGCAAAGGGCAGCCCTGGCCGGTAAGTGAGGAACACTTTGTCAAACTTCAGTGCACCACCTTGGGGCCAATCAGGAGACACCTGTGAGAACATAGAAAAGATATTACCTCCGGTGATAAAAACTATTTATTCGTAAATTTCCATTCAGCACTCTCTAACACGCACAGAGACACTCTCAGAGTTATACTCTCACATACACAGGCACTATCACACAGACATGCTCTCTGTTACATGATCACAGAGATTACTCGTGTAGTGACTCCAACTGAGTCACAGATGTTATCTTGGGAGCAACACTATTTATTATACAACAGCACGTAACACAACACGATCTACACTCGGGTCTCGAATGCCCATCTAACCATGCTACGGCAGAACTAGACATGGTTCGCTATCCCGGTCCGGACCACAAATGGGGTCAGGACCGCATAGCGACAGGCTTCTTCTCCCCGACGTGGATCTTCGTAACACCAGCACACGAAGAACCCCGAGCTCCTCACGGGACCCTCGTTATATGCCCCCGGGCTGGGGCTGGCTCCGCCCTTCGCCCTGCCCACCTTCCAGGTCTCTCGAGCTCCTTCTCGAAGGTTCCCAAGAGCTATTTTGGACCACGTGACCGCCCCGCGGCCCCCGTCCACTGGTGGCCCCCCATCCAATATCATCCGGTCACGTCTCAGCAGGTCAACCAGCGTATCATGCCCCAACGTAACCCCGGCTGGCTGACGCTCCCTCTCGCTCCCTCACCGGGAGCCCGCACCGCACACTGCTCGCGGTGCCCCCGCGCTAACCAGCGCTCACCCAAGCCCCACTAGGGCTGGTACTACACCCCATAACCCGGGCTGCCCATCATGACAACACATTGTCCGCCGTGGCTTTCGTAAGCCCCAGCACCATACAGTGACAACCACAGTCACTATACTCGTACAGCCTTAACGGACCATAGGAGTAAGTGCTGTTAGCGAGTAGCACCGATGATCACAGAGATAAAACAAAGACAAGGTTCCCCCTGTATAGTTTTAAACAGAATTTCGGGGAAAGTGCTGTAAGCGAACACCTATGAAGGCCGTTATATGAGGGGGTGGGTGGCCAGTACCATGGCCGGCCACCTTATACTCCCCAGTGCTGATGTTTACACACTGTACCAGGTACTCATTTAAGGCCGAGTCGACCTAAGGAAAGCCCAGGACTGATTCAAATAATCACACAGCACCCTGCCACTCCCGTACCATTGGCGGACAGCAAAATGCATTGTTGTCCTGTACTTCCGACATCTAAGCTCCCTGCCTTCACCAATTTTGCACTAACCAGTGTGGTAAAGTATGGTAAAATAACCTCCACGACCTCATCCAGCAGTGGTTAAATAAAGCTCTGCATATGTACAACAATAGTACATTTTCTGCTGACCTATAGAGCACTGGATGCTCATAAAAGCTGCACCCCCGTAGAGTGGGCCCAGCCCGTGATAAGTTTACGCAGAGTAACCTCACTGAGAGCTTTCCTCCATAAATCATCCGTTAATCGCATTCTGCCCCCCGATGATCCACAATCCGTATAATCCAGTGTCGGGTTCAGCGAAACGTCATGGTTTGACTTGACATGACGTCTGCCACGTGACGCGAGTGGCGTCTTACTTGGGTGGGGGGGGGGTCGCCACCTTTTCCACAGAGCAAAAACCGTGCCAGGTTCCTGGGTCCGGCGTAGGGCTACCAAATGGTGTGCAGCGCACCAGAATAAAATTAAACGTAGCAGCGGCACGAGGTCTCGATGCAGGTCAATTCCTGCCACTCAAACAGACTCCCGGATAGGTGGCAAACCCGTGACGGCTGGGAGCTGGGCTGCTGGCTGATGCCTGCTCTCTGCTGCAGCAGGACGGGCAAGGGGGTGCTCTCACGTGCGTGGGGTGGCGGTGCGCCTCCTCGCTGTCGATGCCGCGGTACTCCTGCACACGCTCCACGCTCACCATCTGCGTCTCCGTCTGTGTGAAGCTCGAGACGAGGCCTGAGAGGCGGCCGTTGATGCTGAGCGCGTAGGCGATGGCGAGGCCCACTAGGCCTGAGGAGTGGCAGCACCACACACACACCCACGGGTGAGCTTGTAAATGTGCTAACGTCACTACTTACATACGCGCCTCCAATTAGCACGCTTGGCTACGCATGGTGCGAAGGAAGTTCAATATACGTACGTATTGATAACTGTTCATGTCAATATCTGTAGATCAGAGTGTGAATGCGTATGCATTGTCCGAGAACGAGTGTTACATGTAGTGAGACCTGCTACGTACACGATAACAAGAGCGGTGAAGAGTGGTGACGGTGTAAATAAACCACTTAAACAGAGCAATATTCTCTCCTCTTGTCATCTTAACTTTTTTTTATTGTGGAAAGAAATGGTAGTCACTTAATGAAAAAAAATAATGAGTGACATTGCATTGGCAGTAGTGCACAAGCAGGGATACCAACAGCCCAATACACCCTTTCTGGCAATAAGAGGTATTAAGATGTTCCAACAACAAATAGAAACCTTTTGCAAGGAATCATGTCTGCATTAACCACACGTACTTGTGGTGAACATGCAAACAAACATGCTCTGATAAGATATGCATTGTCTTTGAAACTGATGGGCCTACACCAGAGACAGCTTTCTTTATGGCCTAGTCTCACCAGTGTCAGACCAGAGAACGTCAAAAGTATAAAGACAATGCACTATCAGGGCATTTATAGCTCGGGGTGAGCAGCTTAGCTACAAATTTCCAGAAATAGTAAAACCTATTCTTATTTTTTCATACATTTGTCGATATCACAGTGGCCATGAAAGGTAACAAACAAATAATAGGAAATGTTTTGGGTAATGGTCACAGTGGTGAGATGTTAACTACCTCGCCTGGTATGCAGGGGGTTGTGAGTTTGAGCTCGACTCTGACCCCTGTATAATTAGAGTTTGCATGTCTTTCTCCCCATGGTCGTGTGGATTTTTCTCCGGCTCCTCCGGTTTTTCCCTTCACATTTAGAATCAACATCACCCGTTCAGGGTATTTGGCTGCTGCTATAAATGTCCACATGATAAGCCACTTGGTTGAGCTACCATTTGTGGACACGTCACTTCTGAAAGAGCTATATAGCTCAGTGGGCCTTACCTGGTAAAATAAAACAGTTTATTATAATAGTTTTTATTTTTACTATAAAGAAGGAACACTGCTCGATCATTGCCTATGATATATTTTTGTTCCCCTTTAGGGCCACAGCGTTAATAACGAATGTGCTAATTTTATATCGCTCATGACTAGGCATGTGTTGCGAAAGAGTCAACTTGGGTGGTGCCAATGGGACAATGGGCGGTGGAGAGCCCATCCCAGCTCTCCCGAGTGCCGGCCAAGCTAAGGTGGAGACGTTGCTCAAGGCCCCAACGAGATGGGGGGGGGGGGGAAGCCGACACGGTGGCGCTCCCTGCCGAGGCGTCGCCACACCTGGGTCCACGCCGCGCAGGTGGTGCTCCAGCACTGCCAGCGCCGCCAGGCTCACCACGATCACCACGCCCATCATCTGCAGGCGGACGTCCAGCCACTGCATCACGGCCACGGCCGCAAACTGGCAGCGCTGGTTCAGCTCCAGTCGAGCCTCATTCTCCCGGGTGAATCTGCACGATGACGAGGACGCAGCGTGACCACGACACGACGGTGGACACCCCACCGCTGTCCGATGCCGCGCTGAACTCGAAAAACACGCGAGAGAATAAACCCCGACCGTCAGCAACGGGCGTGTGGGCCAGGCGGGCCGTACCTGTCGGTGGCCCTGAACGCCTTTATGACGGCGAGTCCGGACAGCGACTCGGCAAAGTGGGAGTAGATAGGGGACAGGGTGACGCTGCCCAGCCGCTTCAGCTCTCTCGACGTGAACCTGTAGTACTTCTGAACGCAGAAGTAGACCCCGGCGAGCGGCAGCAGCACCAGGGCCATCCAGGGCAGGCCGTAACACATGACTACGATTGCCCCGACCAGCCCAAAGAGCTGCGCCAGGAAGATGTTCATGATGAAGGGGAGGGAGTCGTCGACCGTGAACAGGTCAGAGGAGAAGCGGTTCATGATCCTCCCGGTGGGGGTGGCGTCAAAGAACGACACCGGAGCCTAGAGGGAAAAGGTACGACACCGGATGTGACGGAGAATAACGATCAACAGCTGAGCAACATCACCCATTCAACCATTTCAAATACGTAGCTTACAAAAAATGTCGATACCAAGCGAGTCTGTTATGACTGCCGGGCAGAATGCAGCTTAATCACAAAGTAAAATATATTTATAGCTACGAATGCTCATATCCAAATATAACATTATAACATGCAGTTTATATTAAATAATGGCGTCATTCCAGTTATCTGAAGTACAAGCAATATTTTTATTATCCAGTCTCAACAATATTGGCGGCGTGAGGAGTTTGACCCTCTTCCATAAGCACGATTTTGCAGCGAACGTGCCATTTTTAAACACTCTCAGAGTCGGTGAAACTCTCTCTCCGAGGATAAATTATTTGTGAAGTGGAGAGGGGAATAACAAGGGCAGGCTGAGTACACGCTTGAGATCGTTGATGTGGAGCGATCCACAGCATGACCCAGCACCTACCCCATCACAACGGTCCCAAAAGCAACTCACAGAGTTCCACAGCCGAGAATCAGTGGCCGCACAGCCAAACTCATCACCCACTCAGAGTGCACAGTCACACACAAACTCTAACAGTGACGCCCAAACTGTAACACCAGTGACACCCAATCTCTAACACAGTGACACCAAACCTCTAACACCAGTGACACCCACACAGTCAACCACTTTAAGAAAAGCACAACGGTATGTCGCGAAGCAGTACGTCGCTACATAGGGACATGCGGCGTTACCTGCAGGACCTTGTGCAGCAGTGCACTGTGAATGTTTCTGGCAGCGCAGACCCCACCGTAGGCAAACAAGAAGGCCCTGAGTAGTGTGAACACCGTGTTCCCTGCCGCTAGCGCTCCGTACACGGACAGATAAAACTGCACCGGGTCACTCCCATTGGCACTGCTCCTGTATGGTGGGGAGAGGAGGAGCAGTTACAGCAAGACCGTAATTATAATATATATTGGGGGGGACACATCCCCCCCAATATTCAAATATGCTCAAAATGTCCCCCCCCCAATATATTGATATAAAAATATTTGTAATCAATAATTGCTATGCTACAACAGGCAACCACGCACCGCCGTCCGAAATAATCATTAGCAAATGTAATCATAATCATAACTAAACTTAACAAGTTGCCATTATTACTACTACCGGTTCTCGTATTACAGTGTACAGTTCCATGTGTGGTTTGTCCAAGTGGTGTTGCCGTACCCCAGCAGAAGCCGTTGCTCGACTGCTGTGGGTAGGTACAATCAATGTCAAACACTGTCCTGTCTCTCCATTTCATTACATTAAAATGTATCAAAAAGTGGAAAACTAGAATGTAATGAGTGTTACGTAGGCTATACCACTGTCGAGTGGAAACAAAGTTTTGCGATTGCTAATCAATCAACCATCGCTAACGTGAGCTATCATAGCTAAATAAGTTACTTGGAAAGTTAATTAGCCACACATTCATCCAGCTACCAACAATGGAGCTCATGGGCGTATTCAACTAACGTTAATGTCTTTATTACGTTATATATGTCAGAAAGCCCACGTGAAGTCTGAGTAAAGTGTCAATCATTGATGTTGCGCTGCATGTGTAATATTTGTAGACAGTAGTAACTTTAATGTATTGCATATTCGTATAGCATAGTGTATAGCTGTACTTGCTTATGATAAATAGCATTATTAGTTTTACATTTTGATTTAAAGCTTTCGTGACTGCAAAGATTCATATTCTTGGTTCTTTCGGTAAAGTCACGTAGAAGGGAAATAATAAAATATATACAAATATAAAGCATTATTAGTGTTTCTTTGATTAAAGTGCAAGCAGTTTTATTACAGTCAGCTTTCATTCACAGTGAGTGTCATCATGAGCAAGAGGAAGGGTGGCAGTAACATTCGTCAGTTTTTTGGGCAGCCTCAGAAAAGAATAAAAGTAAGTTGAGAGCAGTGAGAAAATGAGTACCAGTCAGATGATAGGAGTATACAGTAGTACAAGAGATGAGTCAATGTTTCTCGATATACTAAAAATTGCCATTCAGATCTATTCCTGAACATCGTGGCAAGAAACACCAATTGTTTACTGATAATATTTATTTCATGATCACTCTGGTGCATTCAGAGTAAAGAGAGAGAGAGAGGGAGAGAGAGGGCATGAGGATGCCGACAGGGCAGGGAGAGCAGGTGACATGGAGGTGAGTGCGAAAAGGAGCAAATATTGATGGTTAAGACCGAATAATGACATCACAACAGTCTAATCATAATGTTCATTTAAGCTGAGATATTCCTGTAAGTATGGCTTCTCATGTGTATTTCAGATAATACAATCAAGCAGGGAGAGCGAGTTTGAGACAATGACAGAGAGAGAGAGGGCAGACAGGCAAGCGAAGATGAAGGTGCAGGAGAGGGAGGGGAGTAGCTTGGACCTCGCCCAAATCAGCCAAATGTTAATGTCATACCTAGTCAAACCCTATCAAATAGGACACTACTTTCAGGAGAAATGGTTTAAAGATTATACTTGGCTCTATTACAGCCCCTCCTTAAAGGGGATCCTCTGTTTCTATTTTGCTAAATACTTTGCAACACACAAGTCTAAGCTTGCATCAAAAGCAGATTAGGTTTTTGTCAAGACTGGCCTTCAAAATTGGAAGAGGGCACCGGAGAAATTTAGTGCACATAAAGACAGCCAGTGTCACAAATTATCTGTGATGACTCGGATTCAGGAGCCAAAACCTGTTAATGTGCAACTTTCACGTGAGCTTGAAAGACAGCAGCAACAAGCGAGGAGAAATCTTATGAAGATTGTTGGGGGTGTGAAAGTACTTGGCACGGCAAGTTCTGGCTTGTCGAGGTGTCGATAAGGAGAGTGGGAATTTCAGCCAGCTTCTGAAGTACAATACAGAGGGCGATGCAGAGCTGACCACCTGGCTGAAAGGTCACTTTGATTTCACCAGTCCCCAAATGCAAAATGAAGCTGGTGGGCAATACAATCGTCGAAAAAATTGTCTCGGAAATAACATCAATGCCAGTGGTCCAGTTCGCACTTATCATTGATGGCACCCAGGGCATGTCAGGAGTTGAGCAGGAATCAATATGTTTGCGCTTTGTAGATGCAGATCTACAACCTAAGGAAGCATTCCTGGGACTCTACGAAGTGTCATCAACGACAGGGCAAAACATAGCCAAGATGGCATGTGATGTGATGATGCGTCTAGGCCTTCCTCTGTCCCAACTTGGAGGACAAACCTATGACGGTGCCACAAATATGGCTGGACGATTGCAGGGGGTGCAAGCCATTTTAAGAATAGAACCGCTGGCTATGTATTGTCACTGTGGTCCACACTATGTGAACTTAGTTACGCAGGCTGCCTGTGTAGCCTCTCCAATAGTAAGATAATCAATGGGTTGGGTGCATGCATTGGGGGGGGGGGGGGGTTCTTTACTCAATCTGGCAAGTTCAAGGTGATTTTCCAGGAAATCGCAAAATCAGAGCATGGTTTCACCTCGTTGAAACCTCTCTGTCCCACCAGGCGGACTGTTCGCACCCCTGCCATCCACTCAGTTCTCAGCCAGTATGAGTCAGTGCTGACAGCCCTTGAAGAAATGGCATCATGCAGCTCATCTGACACTTCAACTAAGGCCAATTGTCTTCATGGAACATTTCTAAAAGGGAACACTGTGCTCCGCCTTGTAATGGCTGAAGACCTGATGGGGGATTTGGAGTGCCTGAACACCTCCCTGCAGCTTAGGAAACAGACTGTTTTAGGCATGTTGGAGGCTGTGGACCATGTCAAAACAAGCATGCAGGACAAGCGAACGGAGGAGCACTTTGATGTCTTGTTCGCAAAAACAACTGCTGTGGCAACAAAGTTGGACCTACAACCGATTCAGATGCCTCATATCCGCAAACCTACAAAGCGCTACACCGGTCAAGCTGCAGCCCATATCCATCCGGAAGCCCAGTCTTTGTACAAAGTCCACTTCTACAATGCCTTGGACACAGTGAATACTCAATTCATACAGAGGTTTGATCAAGCTGGATTCCACAAGCTGCAGCAGCTTGAAAATGTGCTGCTATGCGGAGACATGGACAAGGTGGTAGACGAGTATCCTAAGTTGAAGACTACTCCATGTGCAGCGATACACGCGCTCGCCGGTGCGCCGCGGAGCCGTCTCGCGCACCGCCTCGCCCTCGCTATGTGGTGGAGTGAGACAGGGCCGAAAAGGGCACACCACAGGGGGGGCCCACACCCCCGCAACAAGGGAAGGGGAGGGGTGAGGGGGAGGGCCCACGGGAGGGGAGGGCCCATGGGAGGGAAGGCACTCGGCCCACCCCCACCCCTGACCCCCCCACCACAATAAGGGGCCCACCCCACACTATCATGAGGGGCCCACCCCCCACCACAATTCTGGGCCCACCTCACACCACATGGGGGACCCACCTCACACCACATGGGGGGCCCACCCCACATCATACGGGGGGCCCACCCTGCACCACAATGGGGGACCCACCCCCCACCACAAAGGGGGCCGACCCCACACTACAATGGGGGGCCCACCCCACATTAGGGGCCCATCCCATGTCACAGTGGGGGCCACCTTGCACTACATGGGGGGCCCAGCCCACACCATATTTGGGAATCCACCACACGTAACAAGGGCCGATTCATCCCGCTGAGACACACCCCAAGGGAGGGAACCACATTTTCGGGCCGTTCACCTCCATCCCCCGTCGCCTTGCTATACACCACAGGATAGCGAGCCAGTGCTTGGTCAGTGGCCACGCAATGGAAGAAGCTGGTAAGGCGGGTGGTAGCAGCCACGTCAGGAACCTTGGTCCTGCGGTTCGGGAAAGCAAATTTGAAGCTCAAAGCCTTCGAAGTGCCACCTCATGCAGTCGTCGGTACCCTACTTGGGCCACGTCGTCAGTGAGACTGGAGTGGCTACGGACCTGGAGAAGACGGCCTGTATAAGGGCCTGGGCCGTTCCCATGACAGTTCCAGAGGTACACAGGTTTGTGGGCTCTATGTCCTTCTACCGCCAGTTTGTGCTCAACTTTGCAACCATCGCTAAACACGTTGATGGCTAGGAACCAGAGGTTCTACTGGAGACCCCCGGAGGATGCATTCCAGCAGCTGTGCTCGTGTCTGACGGACGCACCACCCTTGGCCTTTCCAGATTACAGCCTCCCCTTTATCCTGGACACGAACACCAGCGATGTAGGCATTGGCAGCGTTTTTTACAAATCCAGCACGGTCGGGAGGTGGTTATCGCCTATGGCAGTCGCGTGCTGTCACCCAGCAGTACTGCGTTACCCGTAGGACGCTCTTGGCGGTCGTCCACTTCATGCAGCAATTTCGACCCTACCTGTATGATCGCAAATTTACGTTCTGCATTGACCACGCGGCCTTGCAGTATTTGCTCCGCATTGACCAGCCTTTGGGCCAGCTAGCCAGGTGGATAGAGCGCCTGCAAGAGTACAGGTACCAGGTGGTACATCGCAAGGGGACAAGACACGCTAATGCAGATGCATTGTCCCAGCTGGCGCCCCAGGGTGCTTGTGTAGTAATGTTCAGGAGGACTTGGACGCTGGGGTTGGAGGCACACTTATTTATTCAGTACAAGGTACAACACAGACCGGGACGTACAGCACTGGAAGGGGTGTCGGCCCCTTCACCCGTCTAACTGGGAAGTCACGCTCTAGGCTACACCTAGCCTACCTCTAGGTCCTCCACTATCGGGCTAGGGGAGGCTAGCTAACCCAGCCCTGGTTAAGCTGGGATTACGGCGCCCGGAGTCCCCAGACCGGCTCTGACAAGAGCATCGGCTCTGGCTCTCGGGGCCACGCCACTGGCTCGGTCCTGGTCGGCCCTGAGAAGGGCAGCGATCCAGGGTAGTCCCAGGGCTCTATCTAG